ATTCATTCATTCATTCATTCACTCATTCATTCATTCATTCACTCATTCACTCATTCATTCATTCATTCATTCACTCATTCACTCATTCAGTCAGTCAGTCAGTTAGTCTTTCACTCATTCAGTCATTCAGTCATTCAGTCATTCAGTCATTCACTCACTCACTCACTCAGTCACTCACTCACTCACTGATTCACTCATTCACTCAATCACTCATTCATTCATTCATTCATTCACTCATTCGTTCATTGACTCATTTATTCACTCATTCATTCACTCATTCACTCATTCACTCACTCATTCACTCATTCACTCATTCACTCATGCACTCATATTCACTCATATTCACTCATTCACCCATTCACTCATTCATTCATTCATTCATTCGTTCATTCATTCATTCATTCATTCACTCACCCACTCACTCATTCATTCATTCATCCATCCATTCATTCCTTCATTCCTTCATTCATTCATTCGTTCGTTCGTTCATTCATTCATTCATTCCTTCCTTCCTTCCGTTCATTCATTCAATCCTTTCAGTCCGTTCATTCCGTTCATTCATTCATTCCGTTCAGTCCATTCAGTCCGTTCATTCCGTCATTCCCTTCATTCCGTGCATTCCGATCATTCAGTTCATTCCGTTCATTCTGTTCATTCCGTTCATTCCGTTCATTCCGTTCATTCCGTTCAGTCCGTTCATTCCGTTCATTCCGTTCATTCCCTTCATTCCCGTCATTCCCTTCATTCCCGTCATTCCCTTCATTCCCGTCATTCCCTTCATTCCATTCATTACCTTCATTCCCTTCATTCCATTCATTTCATTCTTTCCAATTTCATTCCATTCATTCCAACTTCATTCCAATTTCATTCCAATTTCATTCCATTCAGTCCATTCATTCCATTCATTCCATGTTCCATTCATTCCAATTTCATTTCATTCATTCCAATTTCATTTCATTCATTCCAATTTCATTTCATTCATTCCAATTTCATTTCATTCATTCCATTCCATTCATTCCATTCATTCCATTCCATTCCATCCCATCCCATTCCATGCCATTCCATTCCATCCCATGCCATCCCATTCCATCCCATCCCATCCCATTAGCTTCCATTCCATTCCATTCCCTTCCCTTCCCTTCCATTCCATTCCATTCATTCCATTCATTCCATTCATTCCATTCATTCCATTCATTCCATTCATTCATTTCAATTCGTTTCATTTCATTGCGTTTCGTTTCATTTCATTTTGTTTCCTTTTTCATTTCATTTCATGTCATTTTCATTTTTCATTTTCATTTTCATTTCTCCTTTCATTTCATTTCATTTCATTTCATTTCATTCATTTCATTCATTTCATTTCATGTCGTTCATTCATTCATTCATTTCATTTCATCTCATTTCATTTCATCTCATTTCATTTTCATTTCATTTTCATTTCATTTCATTTAATTTTCATTTCTTTTCATTTCATTTCATGTCATTTCATTTCGTTTCATTCACTTCATTTCATTTCATTTCATGTCATGTCATGTCATTTCCTTTCATTTTCTTTTCATTTCGATTCATTTCATTTCATTTCATGTCATGTCATGTCATTTCCTTTCATTTTCTTTTCATTTCGATTCATTTCATTTCATTTCATGTCATGTCAAGTCATTTCATTTCATTTCATTCCGTTTCGTTTCGTTTCATTTCATTCATTTCATTTCATTTCATTTCATTGCATGTCATTCATTTCATTCATTTCATTTCATCTCATCTCATCTCATCTCATCTCATCTCATTCATTCATTCATTCATTCAGTCATTCATTCATTCATTCATTCATGCATTCATTCCCTCACTCATTCATTCTTTCATTCATTCATTCATTCATTCACTCATTCGTTCGTTCATTCATTCATTCGTTCGTTCATTCATTCAGTCATTCATTCATTCATTCATTCATCCATTCATTCATTCTTCATTCACTCAATCATTCATTCCATTCATTCATTCCATTCATTCATTCCATTCCTTCATTCCATACATTCATTCAATTCATTTATTCCATTCATTCATTCATTTATTCATTCATTCATTCACTCACTCGCTCACTCATTCATTCCATTCATTCGATCATTCCGTTCATTCATTCAATCCCTTCAATCATTCGATCATTCCATTCATTCTTTCAATGCCTTCAATCATTCATTCATTCAATGCCTTCAATAATTCATTCATTACATTCAGTCATTCATTCATTCATTCATTCACTCATTCATTCATTCATTCATTCATTCATTCGTTCATTTGTTCATTCGTTCATTCGTTCATTCCGTCATTCGTTCATTCGTTCAGTCGTTCATTCGTTCATTCGTTCATTCGTTCATTCGTTGATTCGTTCATTCGTTCATTCGTTCATTCGTTCAGTCGTTCAGTCGTTCAGTCGTTCAGTCGTTCATTCGTTCATTCGTTCATTCGTTCATTCGTTCATTGGTTCATTCCTTCATTCGTTCATTCCTTCATTCGTTCATTCGTTCATTCGTTCAGTCGTTCATTCGTTCATTCGTTCGTTCGTTCGTTCCTTCCTTCGTTCCTTCGTTCCTTCGTTCCTTCGTTCCTTCATTCCTTCATTCCTTCATTCCTTCATTCCTTCATCCCTTTATTCCTTCATCATTCCTTCATTCCTTCATTCCATTCCTTCATTCCATTCATTCATTCCATTCATTCATTCCATTCATTCCATTCATTCATTCCATTCATTCATTCCATTCATTCATTCATTCATTCCATTCATTCATTCCATTCATTCATTCCATTCATTCATTCCATTCATTCATTCCATTCATTCATTCATTCATTCCTTCCGTTCATTCATTTATCCATTCATCCATTCATTTATGCATCCATCCATGCATTCATCCATTCAACCATTCATCCATTCATCCATTTATCCATTCATCCATCCATTCATTCATTCATTTATTCATTCATTCGTTCATTCAATCATTCATTCATTCATATATTCATTCATTTATTCATTCATTTATTCATTTTTTATTCATTCATTTATTCATTCCATCCATTTATTTATTTATTCATTCCATTCTTTCCATTCATTCATTCCATTCATTCATTCATTCATTCATTCATTCCATTCTTTCCATTCATTCCATTCACTCCATTCATTCCATTCATTCCATTCATTCCACTCATTCCATTCATTCCATTCATTCCCTTCATTCCATTCGTTCATTCATTCCATTTGTTTTGTTCTTTCGTTCATTCGTTCAGGCGTTCATTCGTTCATTCATTCATTCATTCATTCATGTCATGTCATGTCATTTCATGTCATTTCATGTCATTTCATGTCATTTCATGTCATTTCATGTCATTTCATGTTCACTTTCGTTTTCATTTTCATTTTCATGTCATTTCATTTCGTTTCATTCGTTTCATCAGTTCATTCATTGCATTTTTTTCATTCATTGATTCATTCGTTGGTTCGGTGATTCATTGATTCATTGACTCATTAACTCACTGAAACGTTGAACCGTTGATTTGTTGTTGATTCACTCGTTCATTGATTCATTGAATCGTTGAACCATTGGTCCATTGATTCGTTGACTCACTGTTTCATTGTTTCATTGAATCTTGAAATCCCTGATCCATTGACTCAGTGATTCCTTGATTCACAGTGGTTCACTGCTTCATTGACTCACCGATTCATTGATTCATTGGTTCATCGGTTCGCTGCTTCATTGCTTTATTCGCTCAGTTGTGCAGAGCTTCTTTCATGTCATTTCATTGGCATTTCAATAACCATTTGCTCATTTGTTGATGCGCCTCACAGCTTCAACACTTCGTTGCTTCTGCATTGCAAAACATATTCCCTATAGGCCATTGATTTCCTATAGTCATGTCCTATTTTTGAAACTTCCGCCCCGGCGCGTGGCAGGCACTACCTGGTAATGATAACGATGATAATGGTGATACAGTAATGATGACAATGATGAGGTGAAAATGATGAACATGATTAAAATGATGAAATGATGAATATATGATAATGATGAAAATGATGTCAATGATGATAATGACGATAATGGTGATAATGATGATAACGATGGTAAGGATGATCGTGATGAAAAGGATGATAATTATAATAATGGTGATGCAGTAAGGATGATAATGATGATAATGATGGTCAGGATAATGATGATAACTGATAACGATAATGTTGACAATGATGATAACGTGATGATGATGATGATGACGATGATGATGATGATGGTGATGATGATGATGTAGTAGTGATAAAATGATAAAAAATATAATATGATGATAATGATGATAACGATGAACATGGTGATTGGCAACCGTTTTTTTGAAGGAATTTTTCGCACGATTTTTCGCGAATAGCAGCAACTTGTGATGCAATTGATATATTTTTTGGGCATTCACTTTGTTTTTTTGGCACCCAGTTCCAAAACAAAGTTTTCACATGTTTGGTTCCATCACATCCGGCAAACATCTTCATGCTGATGAATGTGGAACGTGGGAAAAATGCTGCAAAATTGCACGTTGGCAAACACTTCCCCAACGGAACCAACAATGTTTGAAACCACCCAAACCATTCAACAAATGGAAACGTAAACCAAATATTGTTTTCAGGTCTGTGTGTGCGTTTAGGAACCACATTTTTTTTTTTGTGAACAAACAAAATGTTTGCGTTTTAATTTGTGTGAATGGTATACAAATGATTTGCATCAATCCGTTCGTGATTGCAATGGACTATTGCATATAGAGGCAGTTGGATTTCCGACAGAAACGTTTTGCCCCATTCCAATTGTCAGAGTTCCACCCATGTCATGTTTTGGATTTGGTACTGGAAACGTTCCATTCCACCCATGAACAAATATGCCTTTTGGAAAAATGAATCCAACTGTTTTGCATAAAATTTGCCAATGTTTCATCCAGTTTGCAAACAAACAACATTCGACTACGCCAGTTCCAACTTGGCAATCTAGCTGGCGCGCTTGCCATTCCTGGTTTTGAACATTGAAAGGCCGGTACGTGCCTTACAGTCACATTTTTTTTGTCCTTTTTTGTCTCCAATGAAATTGCGTTGAAAGGCGATGGCGTCCAATGGAACCACCCACGAAACTGGCCAGATTTGGTCTGGTGCCGGGAAGACACAGGATTTCGGACTTTTGTGAACAATATTCAAACTCTTTATTTGACCTCTGTTTTCATCAGGACGAACTCATGCTCAAAGATGAATGCATCCTTGTGAATTACATGGATGAGGCACTGGCACCATTCAATTGTCAAGGTCTTGGGAAAACGGAACCGTGTTTTTTTGGGTCCAGGTGATTGGTCACAACAACAAGTACAACTGCCACAAATTCGTGCCGGGTCAACCACGTGGTTTGTTGCCTTGGCCTCAACAAAATGGCATGAAACCTGGTAAGAGTGATTCTGTTTGGATATAGGGCTGATGAAAACTGATGAAAAAATCCCAATGCAATTGATGCAACATGCGTAACACATCATTGGCCCGAAAAAAATGTTTTCAGGCATCGAGCATTTTCTGTGCTGCTTTTCGATCACGAGAACCGGTTGCTGTCAATAGCTTGGCCGACATTTGAATGACTGCAGTCAGAAACCAACTGTGTGTTTCTTCTGCGCGCTGAGGTTGCAGCAGAGAGCCAAGACCAAGATCACCTTTCCACTTGTTTGGACCAACACCTGTCTGATTCTAAATCCGCAAGAGTCAAAACGCAAGACATTTGAAATAAACAAAACATTGGTTTGAACCGTGCAGATGCCAGGCTGCAGCCATCCTCTCTACGGGATGAAACCTTGCGAAGTGGATATGCCTGGATCTTGTTGATGTGGCAATCGCTTGGCAACTTGCACATCATTCAATCATGAAATTTCCAAGGCCAGATGCCATTGCGGGTGGTGATCCAAAAGGTGTGAAGGCACTTGCATCAAAATTCATTTGCCATGTCTGTTTTTTGGTATACTGTATACACCGAAAAGGACCCGCGAACGAATTCAAAATTATATTTTCACCGAACAGGCAGCAGCGGTTCGAAAACTTGGTCATGAATTGGGTATTCCAGCCGTGCGAAACTCAGGAACAAAGGTTTCCACTTGGACTTTTGCAACAACAACTTTGCTTTAGTTGATTTGTATCTGACTCAATACCACAAATTGACATGATTATACGTTAGATAAAGTTAAACACGCGCAAAGAGACATGCCCTGTGCTGCAGAATGAATTGGATGCCTCGCGCTTCAAATTTTTGACACGTGTGGTTCCCAGATGCAGGGTTGATGCTGAACATTTGCATTAGTCCATCCGCAGTGTGAATTCAGGAGTGCACTACTGGGCGATTGACGTGGGAACTTACGGTGATGAGGCGTTTTTTCACATCAAAATGATTTTGTCTCTGTCACTCAGTTGAGTGATATCGGAGGCAGTTTGGGGTGAACATGAAATTGACCACATTCTGTCGGGGGAGCCAAGGTTTGATGGACTGCAACACAAACTCTTATGGACGACAAAGAGTACCCCTGCACCGTGCAGCGTTCTCCCAGGCTCTACCGTCTCAATGCCGGAGAGAAGCTTACAGTGGAGCCAAATCCCGAAGAGGTGGAGGCTCAGAAGGGTCATCAAACATGTCACAGCGTACCGCAAGTCACTGTATGTCACCGTACGTTGGTTGCATGGAGCAGCGAGTCATGTTTCTGAGACTCGAGCCTGCTTTCGCTGAAGCATCTCTGCAGGCGATTCGCTGGCTTGGCAGTGAGGAGCTGAAGGAGGCATGGAACAATTTCTTTGAGATCTTTATTAAACTTTACATTTTTTATTCATGTTTTCGGAACATGTCTTTCGGGCCACTTTCGGGCAATGCCTTTGTGGCCATTCCTTTGGGGCCATGCCTTTCGGGGCCGAAAGGGGTAGGTCTTTCGGGCCATTCCAAGTTTGAGAACTTCTGTGCTTTCAGGCGATGAACGGAAAGGGTGACATGCCACTTTGGTCTCCTTGGTTTTGTTCTGAGTCAGTTGTTGTCCTTTTCTGGCTCTCTGCCTGTGCAGATCTGTTGTCTTTGCATAGCAGCTTAGCTCCGTGTAAGGTTTAGAATTATCAACGAACGTTTGCTCGACGTCTGGTGGAAGGCCGTGCTTTATGCGATGAAGGGAAATGTGTGGCCAAGTTACTGTGGTATCCAGCTTCACCTGGGCAATTACTCACAATCTCTGTTCAAGAGACTGACTCGATGGAATGTTCTCTTGAGCTCAGAGACAACTGCAGACAACTGTAAGGACTTGGATGCCGCTCTCAACACCGACAAGTCCAGGACTTACGTATTTGTTTTGGCACACGTGAGTATCATTACCATCGTGACCATAAAGATCATAGTGACCATTGTGACTACCATGACCGCCACTACCAGCATCACCGCTACCGCTGCTATCACCATTGCCATCGCCATCGCCATCCCCAGGAGCACCATTCTCAACATGTCGTCGTCATCATCATCATCATCATCATCATCATCATCATAGTTATCAGCATCATTAACATCATTAGAATCACTCACACCATTAATATCATTAAATTTATCAACATCATCAATATATATATAAACAACAAGAGAACACTACTACGACGACGACGACGACTACCACGACGACTACTACTACTACTACTGCTGCTGCTGCTGCTACTACTACTACTACAACTACGACTACGACTACTACTACTACTACTACTACTACTACTACTACGACTACCACTACGACTACGACTACGACTACGACTACGACTACGACTGCTGCTACTGCTACTGCTACTACTACTGCTACTACTACTACTACTACTACCACTACTACTACTACTACTACTTCTACTACCACTACCACTACCACTACCACTACCACTACCACTACCACTACTACTACTACTACTATTTATAATAATGATCATCATCATCACCACCATCACCATCACCATCGACATTGCCGTCACCATCGTCATCATCCTCATTCTCGTCTGTCATGATCAGGACACCATCAGGGCGTCTTTTTGTTGAGATGTTCTATGATGTGTATGGGGTTTGCGTTGAAATTCAAAAGTTACTGGTTGGGTGGCAGCTAGTCAGTGCGTGCATGTTTTTTGTGAGTCATTGTTCCCCCAAACACTTATTGATCACCTACGATAACATTGTTTGTGTCGGTGAAAAAGCCCCGTCAACTTGTGCAGACACATCAACACCCATGTGGAAAACAGAGAACTGCGCATGCGAAACATGTGCTATCACGCAGAAGAGTGAGAAAAACTAGATTGCCTTGATCCGTAATATATCTGTAGTATATTTGTAGTATATCCGTAGTTGTCACTGGCACCATTGAAGGATATTGAAGGCTTCACTTCGAACCAAGGTATGTGGATGTGTCTTCAATCCATCGGTTTGACACTGCGCCGGAGCCCTGCCCGGTTTGAGTGAAACCATGTCGGCGCAGCTCATGGTTTACTAGGATCCCCGTACGTACACAAGGTGGAGAACTTGGGGTGGATTGCAGGAGTTCCATGGCGGTCTCGGCAACGCCAAACCCGTGTTGGAGGAGGTTGCCAAGGTGAGAACTTTCCTCGGCAGGTCTCATGTAAATCATGTAAGGTTTGTATCTTGAAATTAACTCCAAATGAAGACATGGAGAGACAGGAAGGAGCTGGTGAATCTGTAGACATTGAATCAAAATGTCACACACACACACAACTTTATGCCTTGGAGCTGTGTAAACACGAATGTGATGGTTTCTTGAGCGAGGCAGAAGTTGCTGCTTTGAAAGAAGGTGGAGAGGCTACCCCAAGCACAATCTTCTCACATTCGTGTAACCAGAATCATGTGCAGCTTGAAAGATTGATTGCTTGACTGAAGGTGCTGCTGCACATGGATTCTTGCCAGGATCAGCGTCGCAAAGTGGTGTTACAAGCTGAACATGAAGACCGTTGCTGTCTTAGTTCCATGAAGCTTCTTTCTATGGCATGGGACATCTTTATTTTTGCTGATATTAGCTAGCTGCCGAAAACCCGTATCTGCGTATGATGCCCAGGTATTGTCGGGTTTGTCGGCAGAGGGAAAGCGGAAGTTGCAGATTCTGCAGGCCCTCGGGTCGGCCCGAGAGAAAGATGGCTTCGAAGACCAGTTATGCGCCTTGTGCCAAGACACTCTTCTATTGACATTGTGCAGGGGACGTGAAGCAAGGTGGATATGGCAAGGCCTGGCAAGGCAATGTTTCGATTTCGCCGGTCTTTACTGCAGCTGGAGCATTGAAGGTGCCCACTCACAAGAACTCAAAGCTCGATCAACTGATGAGGCTGATGTTGTTTAGTTCGAGAGTTGGGGACAGACATCTAATATTCTCTAAGGCATTTTCATGATATTTCAACTGATTTGTTGGTTGCCTTTGCTGGACGTTCAAGCTCACGGACAGGCCGTTGGAAATCGTCTCGGCCCTGAGGCTGAAGTACCTCAGTCGCATGTTGCACTTTTTGTTGCTTTGGCGGTGGTGGCATTGCACTTTTCGTGATTTTCGTGGTTTGTTTTATTTCTTTGGCAGTGATTGATGTGTCGTTTGTGCTATTCGGTTGCCAGAGGTGAAGCCTGGACTGCTGAGGTGTACAGGACTTTTGGAGAATAACGTCAAGGCACTTCTGAATCTTCATGCTGCAGACTAGATCGTTATGTGGTAATCGATCTATATCGATCTCAAGATCACAGGTCTTCGATAGACAAAGACAGAAATCCTTTGCAATGTCATGCCCCGATCTTTGCAGGGACAGACTGATGAAGATGTCGAATTTTGCGACGACATGCTTGGGAAGGTTGGCTGTTGTCACTCAAGTCTTTGATGCATTTTCAACCAGCTATACACAACGGTGACTGATGGACTATCCCTGAATTGACAGGTTTCAAGGTCTTTTGCGGCAGTCATTCGGCAGCTACCCACGCAGCTGGGTCTGTACCTGAACCGATGGAAGACCCAGCATGCTACCATCTGCAGAAACAACGAGTTACCAGTTGCCAAAAAAGAACAACGAAAACCAGTGGTTGAACATGCCTGAATATCTTTGAGCTCTTGGCAATGCCATGAACAGCGTCGGGAGCATTTGAGCGTGAATCTGAATTGCTGAAGGCATTGACATTTGCGTCTTTTATTTGGCAGAAGGCTAAGACAGTGAGGCTGTGCGCAAGCGGGGTTTCAACCATCAGAGAATCTCTGAGGTAAGAACACATGCTATTGGTCCATGTTGGTCCAAGGTGCTGCGTGCCCTTGACACTGTCGAAGATGATATGGAAGCATACAAAGGCCGGTTTCGCACAAGGTTCACCGAAGTTCATCACACCTTTAAAGTTTAAACACACATTTAGCATCACTTGGCAAAGATTGACCGTGTTATGAGACTACCATTGCCAAAACTTACTTATACTTATTGTAGAGCTTCGCACACCGGCGATGCCTGTAGGGGTCGGGGGAGGGAAAGAGAAAGGGGGATTTCATCTGAACTTGCAGACATGACATGCTGCGAGCTGCATCGTCGTTGTCGTCAGCGTCATTGTCATCGTTGTCGTTGTTGTCGTCGTTGTTGTTGTTGCTTCTGGTCCTCCATCTCGTTCTCGTTCTTGTTCTTGTTCGTGTTGTCGTTGTCGTTGTCCTTGTTGTCGTCCTTGTCGTCATTGTCGTCGTTGTCGTCGTTGTCGTTGTTGTCGTCGTCTTCGTCCTCGTCGGCGTCGTCGTCGTCGTTGTTGTTATTGTTGTTATATCTGATAGCTGTTGCTGCTTGGTCCTGGTGTCGTTGTCGTTGTTATCTTTGTAGTTGGTACTTTTTGCAAACCCCCCAAAATCGTCAAATCAACGGTTTTTGCAAACCCCCAAAAAGCGTCAAATAGGCGGTGTTTTCGCAATTTTTCAAATTCTCGGAACAAAAAAACACCGTAAATACCGATGTTTTTGGCTCCGCGCCAACGCAAAACCACGGTATTTACGAGGTTTTGAGCCTCTGCTAACAAAAATCACGGTATTTACAATGTTTTGTGGCCCGCCGGGTCTAGCAAAAACACTGGTATTTACGCAGTTTCCTGCATGTTGTCAGAAGCTTTTTTTAGATGCCAAAGGCACAAAAACATTGTAAATTACACGATTTTTACGCGTGGACAGTACCAAAAAATTCTGAAAATCGACCAAAAAACGCCCAACAAGGACCTCCAAAACGCATCTTCAAATTTTACCCTCTTTTTTCCCACCCCGAACCCCGAAAAACGTGAAAACCCCAGCAGGCTGAAGGATTTCAGGGGAGGGTCGGCGGCAGGGTCGGCGGCAGGGGCGCGCCCCGGTAGCTAAAGCTATGCTTAGCTGACATCACATACGGCGAGGCATCGCCGGATTTAAGCGCTTACGCGCGACAGCCGGCCAGGGGCCCAACTATGTTGGCCCGTCTTGTGGTATGTTGGCCTATGTTGGCCTCATATTCACCCATGTTGAGCCAAAAGATCCGAAAAATGGAACAGCAAAAAACACTGTAAAACGCACGATAGTTTGATGGTCGGCGGCCTATCTTGGGGCTACGTTGGCCCATCGGGGGGCTATGTTGGCCTATCTTGAGGGCAATGTGGGCCCATCTCGGGGCTACGTTGGCCCATCTTGGCGCTATGTTGGCCCATCTTGGGGCTATGTTGGCCCATCTTGGGGCTATGTTGGCCCATCTTAGAGCTATGTTGGCCCAAGATGGGAAGCAAACTAAATTGGCATAAAAACTCTTCGGTGCTTCGCACTTTGAGGCTTTCGACTTTTTTCCTATGTAGATTGTTGTGAACTATATTTGATAGGTTTGAATTTTCATTTGTAAATGGGTTTTTCATTTGGGTGCATGTTAATATTATGATCCTATGGTTTTATGGGTTCGCGGATCTAAGTAACTGTATAATAGTTAGATAATATATATATATATCTATATCTATATCTATACGATAGTTTTGGCCCTATTATTATACAGCTAGTGTTGCGCCGCACAGGTGCATGGTTGCGCCGCACAGGTGCATGATATTTTATCAAAGTATACGGGGCCCTTGTTTTTTTGGATCCCCCACCTTGTTTTTTTGACCCCCCCGTGTTTTTTTTTGACCCTTCATGAATGAAATCCTACATGAAACTCTTAAGAAACTACCCACATGAATGTTTGAAAACCTTGACAAGATTTTCGGTTGAAACAGGTAGTTTGGCCCTATTATTATACAGATAGTGTTGCTCAGAACAGGTGCATGATATTTTATCAAAGTATACAGGGCCCTTGTTTTTTAGACTCCCCACCTTGTTTTTTTGATCGCCCCTCGTTTTTTTTTGACTCCCCACCTTGTTTTTTGACCCGCTGTGTTTTTAACCCCCTAACCGTGTTTTTCCGACCTCCCACCTGGTTTTTCTTTTGACCCCCTGACCTTGTTTTTTTTGACCACCCACGTTGTTTTTTCTGATCCTCCACCTTGTTTCTTTGACCCCCCACCTTGCTTTTTCGAGGCGCTTGCTACAATAGTATGGATATATATATATACATATAATATAGGCCCTATTATTATACAGATAGTGTTTGCGCCGCACGGGTGCATGGTGCAATGAAATGTAACGCAATGCAATGTAATGCAATGTAATGCCATGCAATGCAATGTAATGCAATACAATGCATTGCAATGAAAAGCAATGAAATGTAATGCAATGCAATGCAATGCAGTGAAATGTAATGCAATGCAATGTAATGCAATGTAATGCAATGCAATGCAATGTAATGCAATGCAATGCATTGCAATGAAAAGCAATGAAATGTAATGCAATGCAATGCAATGCAGTGAAATGTAATGCAATGCAATGTAATGCTATGCAATGCAATGTAATGCAATGCAATGCAATGAAATGTAATGCAATGCAATGTAATGCAATGTAATGCCATGTAATGCAATGTAATGCAATGCAATGCAATGCATTGCAATGTATCGCAATGAAATGCAATGCAATGCAATGTTATGCAATGCAATGCAATGCAATGAAATGCATTGAATGTAATGCAATGCAATGCAATGCGATGCAATGAAAGGCAATGCAATGCAATGCAATGCAATGTAATGCCACGCAATGTACTGCAATGCAATGCAATGTAATGCAACGCAATGAAACGCAATGCAATGTAATGCAATGCAATGTAATACAATGCAATGCGATGCAATGTAATGCAATGCAATGAAATGCAATGCAACGTGCCAAAGACTAGAAACGACAACGAGAAACGACAAGTATCAATGCTGGTAGGTACACTTTTTACCAAGGATAAGAAACGACAAGTATCAATGACGATAAATACGGTAGGTGCAGATTTTGCCAAAGACTAGAAACGACAAGCAGCACACTTGTTGCCACAAAAAGAATGCTGCGTCTGGTGTACATGCTCGTGTGCTGCCTGTGCAGGCGAAAAACTCCCTAACGTAACTTCTGAAACCCATAGAAAATGAGGATTTCTGAGCTACTTGTCCCGCTCCAAAACGCGGTTCTTGGGCGGAAAGACCGCGCAAAACCACAGCCCCCGGACAGGGAAACACCATGGCAGTGAAGGACGGAGAAGGCGCAAAAAAGGCGGCGAAAAACTCCCTAACGTAACTTCTGAAACCTATAGAAAATGAGGATTTCTGAGCTACTTGTCCCGCTCCAAAACGCGGTTCTTGGGCGAGGAAAGACCGCGCAAAACCACAGCCCCCGGACAGGGAAACACCATGGCAGTGAAGGACGGAGAAGGCGCAAAAAAGGCGGCGAAAAACTGCCTAACGTAACTTCTGAAACCCATAGAAAATGAGGATTTCTGAGCTACTTGTCCCGCTCCAAAACGCGGTTCTTGGGCGAGGAAAGACCGCGCAAAACCACAGCCCCCGGACAGGGAAACACCATGGCAGTGAAGGACGGAGAAGGCGCAAAAAAGGCGGCGAAAAACTGCCTAACGTAACTTCTGAAAAATGAGGATTTCTGAGCTACTTGTCCCGCTCCAAAACGCGGTTCTTGGGCGAGGAAAGACCGCGCAAAACCACAGCCCCCGGACAGGGAAACACCATGGCAGTGAAGGACGGAGAAGGCGCAAAAAAGGCGGCGAAAAACTGCCTAACGTAACTTCTGAAACCCATAGAAAATGAGGATTTCTGAGCTACTTGTCCCGCTCCAAAACGCGGTTCTTGGGCGAGGAAAGACCGCGCAAAACCACAGCCCCCGGACAGGGAAACACCATGGCAGTGAAGGACGGAGAAGGCGCAAAAAAGGCGGCGAAAAAGTGCCTAACGTAACTTCTGAAACCCATAGAAAATGAGGATTTCTGAGCTACTTGTCCCGCTCCAAAACGCGGTTCTTGGGCGAGGAAAGACCGCGCAAAACCACAGCCCCCGGACAGGGAAACACCATGGCAGTGAAGGACGGAGAAGGCGCAAAAAAGGCGGCGAAAAACCCCTAACGTAACTTCTGAAACCCATAGAAAATGAGGATTTCTGAGCTACTTGTCCCGCTCCAAAACGCGGTTCTTGGGCGAGGAAAGACCGCGCAAAACCACAGCCCCCGGACAGGGAAACACCATGGCAGTGAATGACGGAGAAGGCGCAAAAAAGGCGGCGAAAAAGTCCCTAACGTAACTTCTGAAACCCATAGAAAATGAAGATTTCTGAGCTACTTGTCCCGCTCCAAAACGCGGTTCTTGGGCGAGGAAAGACCGCGCAAAACCACAGCCCCCGGACAGGGAAACACCATGGCAGTGAAGGACGGAGAAGGCGCAAAACAGGCGGCGAAAAACTGCCTAACGTAACTGAACCCATAGAAAATGAAGACTGAGCTACTTGTCCCGCTCCAAAACGCGGTTCTTGGGCGAGTAAAGACCGCGCAAAACCACAGCCCCCGGACAGGGAAACACCATGGCAGTGAAGGACGGAGAAGGCGCAAAAAAGGCGGCGAAAAACTCCCTAACGTAACTTCTGAAACCCATAGAAAATGAGGATTTCTGAGCTACTTGTCCCGCTCCAAAACGCGGTTCTTGGGCGAGGAAAGACCGCGCAAAACCACAGCCCCCGGACAGGGAAACACCATGGCAGTGAAGGACGGAGAAGGCGCAAAAAAGGCGGCGAAAAACTGCCTAACGTAACTTCTGAAACCCATAGAAAATGAGGATTTCTGAGCTACTTGTCCCGCTCCAAAACGCGGTTCTTGGGCGAGGAAAGACCGCGCAAAACCACAGCCCCCGGACAGGGAAACACCATGGCAGTGAAGGACGGAGAAGGCGCAAAAAAGGCGGCGAAAAAGTCCTAACGTAACTTCTGAAACCCATAGAAAATGAGGATTTCTGAGCTACTTGTCCCGCTCCAAAACGCGGTTCTTGGGCGAGGAAAGACCGCGCAAAACCACAGCCCCCGGACAGGGAAACACCATGGCAGTGAAGGACGGAGAAGGCGCAAAAAAGGCGGCGAAAAACTGCCTAACGTAACTTCTGAAACCCATAGAAAATGAGGATTTCTGAGCTACTTGTCCCGCTCCAAAACGCGGTTCTTGGGCGAGGAAAGACCGCGCAAAACCACAGCCCCCGGACAGGGAAACACCATGGCAGTGAAGGACGGAGAAGGCGCAAAAAAGGCGGCGAAAAACTCCCTAACGTAACTTCTGAAACCCATAGAAAATGAGGATTTCTGAGCTACTTGTCCCGCTCCAAAACGCGGTTCTTGGGCGAGGAAAGACCGCGCAAAACTACAGCCCCCGGACAGGGAAACACCATGGCAGTGAAGGACGGAGAAGGCGCAAAAAAGGCGGCGAAAAAGTCCCTAACGTATTCTGTACTGAAAGCGCGAGGAAAGACCGCGCAAAACCACAGCCCCCGGACAGGGAAACACCATGGCAGTGAAGGACGGAGAAGGCGCAAAAAAGGCGGCGAAAAAGTCCCTAACGTAACTTCTGAAACCCATAGAAAATGAGGATTTCTGAGCTACTTGTCCCGCTCCAAAACGCGGTTCTTGGGCGAGGAAAGACCGCGCAAAACCACAGCCCCCGGACAGGGAAACACCATGGCAGTGAAGGACGGAGAAGGCGCAAAAAAGGCGGTGAAAAACTTCTAACGTAATTTGTGAAAACCCATAGAAAATGAGGATTTCTGAGCTACTTGTCCCGCTCCAAAACGCGTTTCTTGGGCGAGGAAAGAGCCGCCTAACGTAATTTCTGAAACCCATAGAAAATGAGGATTTCTGAGCTACTTGTCCCGCTCCAAAACGCGGTTCTTGGGCGAGGAAAGACCGCGCAAAACTACAGCCCCCGGACAAGGAAACACCTCCGAATTTCGTGCCGAAAATGACGCGAAATCATTCGCAATAACAAGCTCCCCGGAGGCCGGAACGTCCCTTCTGAAATCCTACTAGAAAGCTATAGTTTGACTTCTGTAGTTTGACTTCTGCTGTTTTCTGCTGCTGCTGCTGCTGCTGGTGGCTGCTGGGCCTGCTGGGCCTGCTGTTCCTACTGTTCCTGCTGCTAGATTCCTACTGTTCCTGCTGCTAAATTGCTGTTCTTGCTGTTCTTGCTGCTGTATTATTTGACTTCTGCTGGTCTGCCAGGTCTGCCATGCTGCTGCTGCTGGTGGCTGCTGGGCCTCCTGTTCCTGCTGCTGCTGCTGCTGCTGCTGCTGCTGTAGCAGTAGTAGTAGTAGTAGTAGTAGCTGGCGGTGGCAAACTCTTGTCTTATTCCCTGGCGTGCTCCCCCTTGCGCAGCCGGGGTCGGCGGATATAAATGAATACGGCTCATGGCACAGGTCGAGAAGCAGAAAAACAGGCTGAACTCATTTCTTTTGGCGAGAAGAGGCTCCTGGGTCTTCAGCCAAGGGTTGCATGAGGGGGAAAGCCGAGTATGGACCATTGCCCGCATAGGGTTGCCACTTTTTGGCAAAAAAAACGATCTGAAATGACTCAATTCCATTCGGCCGGAATTGTGAGCCAGCTTTGTTGGATGTCAAGGCTTAGTGATCCAAACTGCAGCATCAAAGGCGGGTGAGCTTGGCTGATTGAGGTGGTTCTGACCTTGAGCCATTTTCATTTCATTCTCCGAAGTCGCGAAAAGGCGTTGGTGCAGCTGATGAGAAGACATTGGTGGAAAACTTCGGCCGGGTGGATCAAACCTCAGACATTGGAATTGCGCGATTTGACAAGATCACTATTGGAATATTGGTTTGTACTGTATGAATCTTCTGATGTTGCATTACTTGTCTCTGATGAGGCAAGGGTCTTTGCCAAGTTGCCTGAAGGTCAGTGGCCTTCACAATTTGACGCTGGAACCTGTTCAGCCGATATGGACACCGCACTTAAACCTGAACTGTTGGCAGCCGCAGGGAGTCGGCAAGTCATCAAAGACATCACAGACAAGATGGGTGCTGGTATGGCTGAGTACGTGGAGACCTCAGAATCTGCTTGGAACTTCCAACCTTGATTCAGCGGCAGAATTTGCAGAGGAACATCAGAGATTGCAATTTGCAGCTTCTTTCTGCTTCTCACCTTTCCAAAAAATGCAGGTCTCAGCTGATCTGGCACAGGGAACAGTGGACCAAGCAGCCTACGATCGCCGCTCTGGCTTTTGGTCGAGACTTCAAACCATTTCAAGCTGAAGAAAAACATCTCCTGAAAATGCGGGATAGTTTCGTGCATAGCAGGCTACTGCCACATGGTTGCCGGCCTTGTGGGCGAGGGCTTGACTGGGATCTTCGTTGCCAGCGGGATGGATTCCTGGAAGCAGACCAGCTGCGACTTTTGAAGCCATGGAGATTTCTGGACTCAAGATATTAGTTGATATCAGTGATGAGATGGATGAAGTAGAGTAGAGATAGTAGAGAGTAAATATGGTGCTCGGTCATCAGGGTGGTCACCCCTCTCTATCAAATTTAGCACGTTTTGAGGAGAACAAAGACCTCACAGGACAAGGCTGGGTCCAAAACAAAAAGCAGATTGGTTCAATGCCTGGCCACATGACCTGTCCACCAATCAGATGCACCAGGTGAACGAGTGTGGCCATTTTGTGCCGTCCACTTAGCTCCACTCATCCTGATTTTCCCTGCGATACACCTGATAAAGAAAATCCAGCCCCAGGCGGATCCACATACAGAGCCTGCCAACCTTGGCCGGAAGCTTGGTTTCTGCCTTCACTTCAGGTGGTGAGGGATGGTGCCGATGGTGCCGTTGCCGGTGCCCCCAAGGATTGGCCAATTCAATGGGTCTCTTCCTCCAGAAGACCAACATCATTCGAGACTACCTGGAAGATTATGTGCTTCTCTCGTTTTTTTTTTTGCATTTGTATCATTTGTTGTTAGATGCAGCTGAAGGGTGACACACTTTGCATTAATGAATTCAAGGCTCTAACACTTAAGATACATGTGATGCTAATGGCGAGACCCAGGTCGATGGACGAGCTTTCTGGCCTCAATCCGTCTCCATCTTTGTCTTCGATGTCCTTTATCCTGCTGTGTTTTATGAGTCTGAATGGATTCGATGAGACTTTCTTGACGTAAGCGACGTAGTGACGTAACCGTTTAACCTTCTCAGGTCTGGAAGAGTTATGCTTGCAGCAATGACCTTGGTGAGTTTGCTTTGCCCACCTCTCACGGAGCAGGACGGATACCAACACAACAGATTAACAGACCTTCATGGTCCTCAATGGATAGACTCCATAGACTTTGCTAGCTGTGGTTTCAGTCCATCCATATGCGACAGGAACGCTCTTGCCGGTGAAGGTGCATGACTTGCTGACTGAACTTGAGATGTCCTCATTGCTGAAGTTTTGCCGCCAGGGTGGTGAAGTTTTGGCAAAGGGTGTCGGTGTCCAGGCCTTCCATCACGGTTTCAGGGCGTTTCTGGACGTTTCTGAACATTGCCAAAGTACCAGTTCCGAGTCGTTCCGAGGCACTGATGTGCTTGAACCACCTCGTGGCGGATGCCTTGGAGCTTGTGCCAGATTCTCTCGAGTGAGCCAGGGACAACTGGGACAACTGGGACAACTGGGACAACTGGGACAACGAAAACACGCTGCAAAGAGTCGGTGCATCTCGGTGCATCTCGGAGCATCTCGGAGCATCGGAACACACCACTCTGAGAGATCTCGTTGCGCGAGGTACCTTGAGCGTGCATGCAGCTTAGATTTGACTCTTAAGATTCTTGAGTCAAGAGCATGTCGCAGGAGTTTGCCACTGGGGTAATTAGATGTAATTAGTAGACAGAGCAGACAGAGCAGATAGAGCAACAGGTCCAAACTCCATCCATCTACCGTTTCTGCGCCATTCCGCAGGCACGATTGGTGTTTACCGGCGTTTTTGTTCAGAGAATCGAAGCCAAAGGCTTTTGCTTTCAGTTGCGCAGGTGATGGCCATTGCAACACTCGTTGCATGCTTTGACAACCCCTTGGTGTCGAGCCCTCGATTGAGATCAATTGAGTATGAGGGTTTGTTAATGTAGCCAATGTAGCCTTGTGCACCAGATATTTTGGATCCTCCCAAGGCAGGCAAGAAGCAAAGCAAGTCTAAGCTGCCGCAGTGTTTACCCAGGTTCACCGGAGTTGTAAAGATTCGCAAGGGGCTCACTGCGCGGCTCATCGTTGCATGCTGCGATGGTCCAAATGCCGTGCAGTACCAAGAGCAAGTCTGACAAAAGTTGTCATTTGCATGGAGTAAATGTTCTTTTCCTGCGAAGTATTACTGTAAAAAAAACCAGTGAGCCACCAGCACTTTCAGACTGCAGCGGACTGTAAACTTTTGCTCACTGCTTTCTTGTGAGGTGCACTGCTGGTTTAGACAGTTTGCAGAAGAGATCTTGGCACAGCTTGTGGCTTAGTAAGCGATGTTTGAAAGATTGCTTGATCAATTTGAAGCCTGAGGAGTGACACATGTGTCGGAGCCGGCGGACCAGTTGGCAAAAGACTCAAGGAAGCCTGCAAACGCATTTTGGAAAGGAGCGCTGACAGCTCCCGTCGTTTCATTGCGCCCGAATTCGTGTCGGCCATGATTGAAAAGCACCTTGAAGGACTGAGAAGAGGTCACAAAATTGGTCTGGCAAGCAGACACAGGCACAGAAAGTCTCTGAAGCCTAAAAGATACTCAGTGGTCCTGTGTTATTCTATCAAAAGGTGTCAATTTTGGAATGGTTTAAGAGGGATTCCGACTCCCTACATTATACATTATCGTCTGCACATGACATATTTTTTGATGACATGTGACATGTTATGAAAAACTATCACACATACATCATACATACAACTCTTTAGGGTTTAGGGTTTGTTTAGGGTTTGCTTAGGGTTTCATTTTTTCGAAATGGTTTTCACCACGGTTTTAATTACTCTGTATAGATGATGTATTGCGTGTCAACACGTATGTAATGTAATGTAACATAATGTAATGTAACATAATGTAATGTAATGCAATGTAATGTAAGGCAATGGCAGTGGCAGTGGCAATTGCAATGGTCACAGTCATGTTGATGTTGTTGTTAATGTAATGTAACGTAACGCAACGTTGTGTTATGTTATAAAGACCTTGAAGGTGTCACTGGTGTCACCTTCTGTATTTTAAACAATATCTCAAACTACATCATATGCAAGCGTAACTCATTTCACGCATTTGTACAAGTAGGAGCTCTGTGATCTTGTGTTCAATTTAGAATCGATAATTGTACATGGCTTGCCGCTGTATTCTCTTTCTGCCTTACATTACATCCGTTTTTTGCGTGATGGTCCAATACTATCACTTTCATTCCATGTGACAATGTTTCCGCAGAAGCGCTTGGTCTTGGGTGCAATTACTGCATTGGCAGAGCTGCCCTTAGAGCTCCATGTTCGACAAACACGTAAACCTCGACGCCATGCAGCAAAGCACTTTGCAACTCACTGCACTTATTTTCTCGGTCTATGTGCTCAGAAACATGATCCTTTGTATTTGAGGTCTCATCAGTATTTTATGGAAAGCTGCAAAGCCACAGGCACGGCAAAAGAGTTCTTCTGCAAGTATGCAACAACTGCTTTAAACATGTCCAAAACCTTTAGCTGCCAGGTAGCTTCTCCAGCACGCGAAGTGACTACAACTTGTCGCTCTTGCGAAACCATTTCGTATGCAGCCAGAGCTTTGCATCAATCTATAGAAGTTCCTGCAAAGTCTTGGTCAAGCTAGTTGATCATAGTTTGTTTCCAGCCAAACTGAACCAATTCTCCTTTGAAGCACTAGCTGTGGCCACAATGCATATTTATTTATTTTCCACTGTCACAGTTTCCCCTTGACTGGAAAATCCAGGTCTGAAGGGAATATGCCCAAATTATACAATTTTTCATTTGCTTGCACTGCTAGGGCGTTTGACAGCAACTTTGTCCCTATGTCATGGTTGACCATGAGGTGTTGTTTCCAGATCCTTTAGCAGTTCTGTGTTGCCGTTTGTCTCCTTTAGCCCATGCAGCTGATTTTCAAGCACCACTGATGCGCTTCAATGGCTTGGGAGGAGTTGGACAAAACCCAAGCAATGGAAAGCGCTTGAGCCACGATGAGTGCTAGTAGGAGAAGCAGGCCGAAGTGCTAGCGAAAAAATGCACAATTTGCTTTTGCCAAGAGTAGACTCACGGTTTGCAACAAGGTCTGCACTAGTTGTATCATTTCTTAAATTTCTTTCAGTCAGACATGCTTTCTGATGGGCTGAAATGGTTTTTCTTCAGTTCATCCGAGAGACAATTGCAGCTGCAAAAGCAAGGACATGACAGAAATTTCCTCCTTTGTTCCTTGATGCTTTAGTAACTTTAGTACTGTCCTACGAGGCGTAAACTCAAACACAAGCATGCAGCGGAGTTGCTTGGTAGAGCCATTCCCAGTAGGGCAAGGAGCAGTGCTCAGCAGGTCCCGTTACCACCAATCTTCGAGCCATGGCCACCCTGCTGACTTCAGTCTGCTGTCGATTGGCAAAAAGTCTGCGCCTTTGTGCAGTCAGCGACCTGCAGGTTGAAACTAGCTGAATGTTTGTAAAACCTCAATGCTCACATGTCCTACACGTGTCTCATTTGTGTCTCAATTGTGTCTCCCATGTATATACAGTGTACACCTCTTGATGCCTTGTTGATGGACTGGGTCGAGAAGCTTGCCAGCTTTGTGCTGTGAAAGCTGCAGGCAACTTACGCAGCTTTCCCGCTGCGAGTCCGGCCTTGATCAGCTTCACTGGCACAGGCGGCTCACACAACTTTTCTGTGTGAGCTCTGATCCATTCTGATCCTTCTGATGTTCTGGAACACAGTTTCTTACTGTTTCTCTATGTCCTTTGTGTCGTAAAAGTATGTAAAAGTCAACTTGAGAGCGTGAACTGCGTGAACTGAGAACGTGAGCGCTGGTCAGGTACGTTTCAAGCTCCGCTAGAGCTGGGACCCATGACCCAGGACTCACTTGTTGACATACTTACTGCATATGTTTGTCAATTGATTCCAATGCCAATCCTTCATTGACATTTGACGCAACTATCCTTTCTGCACACCTACAATGTCAGCACATTTATTACTCCTTCACATAGGACAAGCGATATTCCCAAAAACGCGGTGCCTGCATCTCAGAGCAAAAGGCATAAGTCCGTATAAGATCGTATAAGTGTTCCATAACCACATGTAGGTTCCTCTGAGGAATTCTCAAGACCGAAAGCGATTTGGGAGCATCATGGAGCATCTAACATTTGAAGCGCGCTATTTCATTGGCCATGAGGTCCTCAAGCTCCGGTGTAGCGAGTGTCGCTATGTCATTAAAAGATGGCACGTGCCGCACTCGGACCTGCGGCAGTCTTCTGCGAAGACCGTGAGACGTCAGAAAACAGTTGCGACTCATATCTCATAACCATTTTATAACCTGCTTGTTGAGGTTCCCATCCTCGCAGTGGATTGCAATGCGAATGTCCGTCACAAACAGGACTGGTACCTGCAGTCACATGGAGTGACATGGAGTGACATGGAGTGGCATGGAGTGACATGTGCAATCACCTCGAGATGCAGGACATTTCCAATATACAAGTCATGGGGAAACACCATTTGCTCTGGAGCTGTGATGCTAAGGCGATGTCGAATCCGGCGATACGATCGCGATGGTATCGGACTTGTCTCAGAGCTGGGAGAAGTATTCTTAGAGCCATGAAGCCACGGTTTCACCCAGGTCAGCTCAGGTTCCAGACTACCTCAGACCCTGGGTGGAAGGAAAACAGTGCTGCCCTGACTTCATGTGTTCTGCGTTTTGTCAGGCAACCCCTCTTTGTTAAAAAAACTTGCTTTTTGAGCCTTTTGGTTGTCATTTTGTAGGTATCCGAGAAACCCTCACTATCGACAAGAACACACTTTCCACTGCTACTCGAAGAAGAAGCGCCTTGCCTGCAAAATTTTCAAACTCCAGAGAAGACATGTTGTAAGAGCTCCCTCCTGAGGCATTTGAAGCTGCGGTAATGCTGAGAGTTTCACGGTTTCACAGCTTTCGCACAAGCTCTCAGCCCAACAAAGCCCAACAAAGTCCAACAATAGGTCAAGATTCACTTGTGCGAAAGCTTGGTTTAGCAGACACGGCTTTTCGGCCTGAGGACAAGTTGCTTGTTTGGAAAAAAGTTGGTTGAAGCCAAGTTTGAGCATAGAAGCTGAAGCTGTTTTGAGAAGGACATTGCAATAGAGGGTCATAGGGTGCACGTTTGAGCATGTCTTTTTCTGATGGAGTGCAGTGCTGTTGCCATTTTCAGACAATTTTGTGGCTTATACCGTCAGCGATTTTGGTTGGCCGGGAGTCTTGGCTTCGTCGACCTAGGTATTCCTTCTCTAAAGACGACGCAAAGGTATCAAACAGTCTTACGAGGCAGTTGTCCCAACAATAGATTTGGCGAGGTCCAGCCCAATGCACAGCATCTTGCCTTGCCCTCAGAAATGGTAAAGTTAAGCTTCTAGGGGTTCTAGGCATTCTAGACGTTCTAGGAGAGGAGTTGTGCTCAGTTTTGTGAAATGCAGATTTGGCTCAAGCACCCCTTCGAGTTCGCTTTTTCCTTGTCAAGAGTGTCAAGGCCCCGAAGCAAGACCCTTGCAAACCTGCACGCACATCCGCACAAAGTCATGCCAGGGTGTTTCCAGCGAGGATAAAAACACTGTTCCGCGCAAATGCATTGATTCTCCGAGAGTTTCATGGCACTTTGAAGTTCGAACATTCTAGCCAGGACATGACAAGGTCCGGAGAAGACAAGTTTGCCCGTAAGGAGAGCCCTTCTTTGCCAAAAGACATGTTCAGATCAATCCAGCGGCCCCCGAGTGGCTGCGTTTTGTACAGAGCCTTTGTTCAGATTGGCTGCCGTTTGTTGTTGAAGTTCTTCCACTGGCGCTTTTTGCATTGTTGACACTGCCTGTTTTTTTTTTTCGTTTTTCATAAAACTTCTCGGAGCTTTTGTCAGGAGCGCCACTCTGCCAACCCCAAGTCAAGCGTGAGAGGAGAGCCAAAGAAGGCCTGGGGGTGACAGCTTTGAGTCACATCACATCCAGCGCAAGGTTGTGCAAAGTTGTAAGCTGAAGCCCACCCTGCGGATGCGAAGGATGGCGCTGGCGGAAAATTTACAATGGGTCGACCTGGTGATGAAGCGAAAGGAGTCCAGGACAGAGCATGGTTCGACATAGGGGGGTCCAAAATGACACTTGAGAATGCACAGAATGCTAGCTTTTTTTTTGCTTGACAAATTTGCGACAAACAAGAAAAGCTAAATCTGGCCAATTTCTTTTCTCCAAAGGTTTATCTTGTTAATCCTTGGCTGAGGACACTGATTTTCCTTCCCCAAAAATATAAAGCATTAAGGAAACCACTTCTCCTGCAAGAGTATTTGTGTATTGTGTCATCATCTCCTGCTGACCTTTGGGGTCGTCCAAAGTTCGGTCTCAAGGAACTAGACAAGAGGGATCCGAACTATGACTCAGAAGAGGAGGGTGTGCAGAAGTGAAGCCAGCCTGCCTGATGGTTTTGAGTATACCCCTAGGATGCATGGCAGTCAATCAGCACGTGTTTGCCAAATCAATTGCAGACCTGCTACACTTTTTGCCTTTTGAAGCGTTTCAATACCCAACAAGCCTCAGTGTCTTCCTGAGGGCGCGAAGAGTGTGAGAGTAGCAGCCGAATGAGTGACATGCGTTCGCACATTTTTGGTACGAATCAATATGCCCGAGCCGAGATTTGCCAATGCTTTTGCAGCCGGGCATTGTGTACAAAGCTGTATGGGCAAAAGAGACACTCACAACTTCATGTGGTTTGCCCTGGCAATCCTTTAACTTGCCATGTGCATCATGAAAGATTTGCGGGCACTCTCCTGCCGTATATATATATATATTTTAACGAAACAGAGATTGTGTAACTCAGGTTCTGCTTTCTTGTACAGCTGCAACCCATACCGTTGCTCGAGAGCAGTGTCAAAAGTGGGAAAACCGTGAAGTGCACGATGAGTATCTATGAGTATCTATGAGTATCTATGAGTACAGGATGCGTCTTAGATTTCAACGATGTTTGTTTGTGCTGATTGAATCAACATGAAGATGTGGATATTATGAACGCCTTTCCTGTCCAAGGCGCACACCTGCGCGGCACATAACAAGGGGGCGGCAAGCTCGGCAGTCCGTTGATGCTTTCAGGCCTTGACGAAAGTCAGCACTCAGCACGCCAGGTTCAGATGATCAAGCAATTCGAAGAAATCAGCCAAGATCATCCATCCATGTAGCACAGTTTGCCACATCCGAAATAGTCCCCTTCAAAACATGATTCGCTGGAACTGCTGTGCAGGCACAAAAGCTCTTTCGCACGATGTTTGCCAGTATCTGCCTAAGCTTTCAAGACCATTTCCAGCACAGAGACTGGCACAAGGGCAGACAATGAAATCTAGGTATCAGATGACATCAGATGACATCAAATATTCTCAATGAATATCAATGACACATTATCAATGTACGGTTTCCGTCTGCACCACCAGATCTACCAGAATGCTGAGGCCTCGGGCATTGCCCTGAGCCGGTCGCATAGATTTACCAGGTGTGGTACGCCAGTTCTTCGGAATTGTACAGTTTATTATACAGTTATTTGAAACCTGGGACACCTAGTTTAAGAGGCCGTTTTCGACGAAAACTCACGAGTTCAAGGCAAGTGATGTTTGTGAACATCTTGCAAGGAGTCAGCAGAGCCTGGAGCGACAATCACATGCATCTGTGCAGGCTGAGACCAAGAAGCTCTTAGACATAGTAGCAAAGTCCCTCTACACAGACAAGGAGGCACGAACCAATGATATGAATTTGGAACTTCGGACAAAAGGTTGCGAATGCAGAACATCGATTCTTTATTTGGCCATGCATTGCAGGTTTTCATCAGGGAATTGATCTCCAATGCTTCAGATGCTTGTGAAAAGCTTCGGTTCTTGTTGGAACCTTTGGGATTCCAAGAGAGACTTCAAAGTGTGAGAGTCACAAGGACAGGACCCTTGATATCGCCCATGGCCTAAGGCAGACCACTCAGCAAGTAAAAGATGTGAGCGACTCCGAGCGTCCGCATGAAGCTCACTTCGCTTTTTGATGGGTCCTATTTGAATGTTTTCATGTGGCTGTCTCAGCTTGTCTGCACAGTGAAAAATACATCGCAGTAGCTTGGTGAGGCTCCAAGTCACGCTCAGTGTGAATGAAAGTGAAAGGCGCGGAACGACGTGGATGCATGTTTTGAGTTTTGACGATATTTTCTCAGCAACGTCAGAGACTTCCTTCTTAAAGAATTGAAGGGTCAGTTTGATACTTAATCACAGAACTTATGACAGTCATTGACAGTCACTGAGCGGTTGCTCCGGAGTTCTTGGCTCTTTCCTTCCTCGTTGCCTCTCGCCACGTCTCGTCTCGCCACGTCTTGCCACGAGCCATGACTTTGCGCCGCCAAACACCTTTGATGAAACGCCCTGCCGTCGCCAAGGCTGCCAAGGATGCACCAAAGGCAGGTGCCAAAGGCAGTTTGACTAGCCGCAGGTGCTTGACAATCTTGGAACGCGTGGAGAAGATGTGTTCCATTCCCAAGGACATCCAGAAAACTTTCCGTGAAGCGAAGCGTGCTGCCAAAAGTGCCAAGAAAGGAGATCATGAGAAGTCAGCAGCTTTGCTTGGATCGGTGATGGCGAAAGTGGTGAATGCCTTTGAGGAGGAACAGCGCAGTGCGCGAGATGGTTTGGAGAAAGCGAAGGAGGAGGAGAAGACACTCTCGCTTGAACAAGTGGAAGCAGAGACACAGCTCAAGAATGCCAAACAGGCTATGCAAGACTTCAAGTTGAAACTGAAGGAATCAAGCAAGAGTATCGTTGCGCAAACCAAGGCTTTGGCAGCTGCATCAGCAGAGCGCAAGAGTGCCATCCAAGATGTAAAGCTGGCAGAGAAAGAATGCCAACAGCTTCAAGAGGTTCAGGTGAAGACATATCAGCCGCTGCGGGAATCCTCTGCAGGGTCGGGATCAGCTATTCGGAAGCAGATCAATATGCTGTGCAAGGCAGGACAGAAGGTTGGCTTTCACCAGGAGTTGCTGAGCATTGCTCCGGCTGTCTTGAAGAAAGAGTTGACCCGCCGCCAGACCTTTGATCAGATGGTGCTGAAATCCTTGGATTCAGAGTTTTCAAAACGTTCTCATGCCTTGCAGTCCAAACTTGAGGACAATCAGCAAAGCTTGACTGCGCAAGAAAGAGCTGTGGAAGAAACACGTGAGGCAATGGCACTGGCAAAGGAGACAGTGAAGCAGACCGGCCGCCAAATTGCGCATGCGGAGGCATTGGTGGAGTCAAGCAAGCAATCCCTGTCTCAAGTCAAGAAGAAAGCCAGGAACTTGCCATCCATGCTCAAGCAAGCTGGGCGCAAGTATGAGCAAGCTTCAGGGAGGTATGCAAAATTCCGCTCTGGTCCTCTTGCCAGTTACTTGGCATATCGCCCAGTTCGACAGGTTGAGAATGATGAAGATCTCGAAGAGGAAGATGAAGAAGCCACACAAAGGGAGTGAAATCCAATCCTGAAGAAAAGGCGTGAAGTTAGTCAAGATATTTTGATCTCGTTTTGTACAGATGTTTTTGGTCAGCACATCCAAAAGCCTGTGGGAAGCTACAGTCTTTGGGAGTCATTCGACAGTAGGACAATGACCGGATGAATGCACCTTGAAGATACCTCAAAAAGTGAATCTGCTGTTTCACCATGCTTTTGATTCACTGAACAATTCACTTGCGTTTTAATCTCAGGCAACCTCTAGCTTGAATCTTTGCAAAATGAGAATTGTGAAGCTTCAATTCAAGTCTGACAGGAAGTTTGTAATTGAAGATTCTGGAATTGGCATGACCCATGATGAGCTTGCCCTAACCTCAGATTCAAGTTTTTGAGACATTCGAAATGGCCAGCCCAGGACCAAAAATTCAGTGACAGTTGCTTTCCGGCTGACACTGCACGACTTCGCCAGTTCTGAAGATTGTTGGCTCAAGCAAATCCTTTCTGACTTGCAAAGCAGGCTAGAGCCCTCATGCTTGGCCTCAATGTCCCGCGGAACTCCAGTGGAATTGAGTAAACTTACTTGCATGTAGAGATCAAATAGAGCTCATTTCCATTCATTTTTCTTTGTTTTCTCGGTCAAATTTTCTCTGAGACAGAGGCTTGCAAAGGCAGAAAAATGCGAGAAACTGACTGACGAACTTGGGAATTGTATTTCAGGCTCAGTCCATCAGTGACCAAAAATGTGGAGACCCCTCCTCAAACAGAGTCTGAATTGGAAGAGCATAGGCAGAGGCATAGGTACTCTTTCCGTTGAGATAGTAAATTCTATTTCTGATAGATGCACATTTGAAACATCTATACAGATGTGAATGCAGATACAGTCTAATATGTTTTTCTTTTTGTAGAATGTAGTTTCATGAACTCTTGAACAAGCAACATGGGAAACAGGTTCATTCCACCCATATCTCCAAAAAGGTACTGTTCGAACTGGTGGGTACAATTGTGGTTAACCTTTGTACAACATGATGGATCGTTTTTCGCTAATGAAGATACCAATCGGATGCCTTTGCAGCCTGTGGGATCAGTTGTCAGAGTCTGTGTCAGCGTGGGTGGTGTTGACGGCTTTGACTGTGCCAAGCCGACTGAGGTAATGCAGTGAATGTGCTGAAGGAGCTCCAGTCGCAGTCCCCACGGCACAAAGTTGATGAAGCACTGAGACCCTTCCTCCACAGCGCGACATGGCAAGAGAAGCCCCAGTTGGCCACAAAGACTTTGGGCGCGTTTCGCAGACGTCCAGGGTTTGTACTGCAGATCCTGGAGGCTATCCTTGCTGCCAGATTGGAAGGGAATGTCCAACACTTCAATGTGGCAATTGAGAGCTTTGCGCAAAAGGGTGCATGGGAAGGTGCCTTAAGTCTACTGGAAAAGATGGGAGCTATACAGATTTTGCCAAACGTGGTATCCTGCGCAAGTACCATAAAAGCATGCGGCAAGGGTGGCCAATGGGTGATGGCGTTGGACATTCTGCAGCAGTCTCTGAATTCAAGGATTTCACCCGATTTGCGACTTGTAAACGGTCTAATTAGCAGCTTAGATGGTCAGTGGAAGATTGCTGTGAATCTATTTGGTTCCATGCCCGAGCTCGGTCTTGCCCCAGATGTTTTCGCATGCAACACTGTGCTGAAGGCACTGGGGAAGGGCAAAAAGTGGGAAACTGCCTGCAGGTTTTTTCACACCATGAATGAGATGCAAATTTTGCCAAGTATTGTCACCGCAAACACAGTTGTTGCCGTTTTGTCAAGCCAGAAGAAATGGTGGCTAACTTTGGACATCCTAGAGGATCTACCCAGCAAGGAGCTGGTTCCAGATCGAATCAGCTATCAATCGGTGCTGAAAGCCGTTAGTGTCTCCTTTCAATGGGAACAAGCCATCAGGGTCCTCAGTGACATGCCAGACGCAGAAGCTTTGGAGTTCAGCTTGACAATGACTGCCTGCGGCAAAGCACATCACTGGACACAAGCCCTCCAGTTGCTCAGCTTGCTGCGCCAACGGTGGGTCCAAGAAGATGTGCTTCTGCGCAATGCAGCTATCGGTGCATGTGGGCAAGCAAAGAAATGGCAGCATGGGTTGGCCCTTTTTGGAGAACTCGGTTTGCAAGTAGACCAAGTTGCCATACACACCGCCATCTCCGCATGTGCTTCCCACTGGCAGCACGTTCTCTGTCTCTTAAACTCACTTCCTCAGTTAATGCTAAGTGGCACGTTGTTGACACACACTGCTGCTGTTCGGGCATGTGGTGAAGGTTCTCAGTGGCAGTGGGCTGTGCAGTTGCTTCGTGATGTTCAACGACAAGCAATCACAGCTGATGTGATTTTGTACACCACGGCTATAAATGCATGCTCAGCCAGTAGTGGGGAAGAAACCATGTATCAGCCTTCAGGGCTTGGTCAAGAACTGAGTCAACCATGGCCAGCTGCACTTTTCTTGTTTGCCAATCTCAAAGGTTTGAGCCTATGTCCTGATCGCATAGCCTATACCGCTGCAATCTCTGCTTGTGGAAAAGCCAGCAAGTGGCAACATTCCCTGGAGCTTTTGCGAGAATCCCAGCTGGCCCATGTCCAGTCAGATTCAACAACTTACGTTGCTACCATAAGTGCTTGCAAAGAGCAGTGGCAATATGCGGTATATTTGTTGGCCCAGTGCCACTTATCTCAGATAGCGGCAGACATTGTTGCCTGCAATGCGGCCATCAGCTGTTGTGCTGAAGGAGTTCAGTGGCAACATGCCATGCTGCTGCAGGCCTTTCCTCATGAAGTTCGCTTACAGAAAGACATCGTAACTTGCAACGCAGCAATCAGCGCCTGTGAGAAATCATGCCAGTGGAAAGTAGCTGTTGACCTCCTTGGGCAAATTCATGAAGAGCAGCTGCAAATGACAGTGATCTCTTACAACCTTTTGATCAGCTCCTGCGCAAAGGGAGAGGAATGGCAGAGGGGTTTGGAGCTCCTTATGGATCTTGAGCTGGTGAGAGTACAGAGCAATCTGATCACTCAGAGTGTGGCGATCAATGCCTGCGGACGAGGTCTGCAGTGGCAAGCTTCACTGCAAATGTTGGCAGATTCAGCAACCTGCAGAAGCTTTCCAAATGTCGTGGTTTTTGGCACACTACTGAACGCACTTCAGAACGGTAGCTTATGGGAGCAGGCCCTGATGACCCTCTCAATGATGGATGCAGAGTTGGAACCCTCTGTTGCCTGTTATGATTATGCACTCCTTGCATGTCAGGGTGGTGGTCGACACGATTTGGCGTTTGAGCTATTGCTGAGATCGAGAAGTACCAGATCAGCTGTATCCTTCTTGTGGGGGCTATCTGTGATCCACAACATCGAACCTTCCAGAATTCATGCAGCCTGTGTAGATGTGTTGCGGGCTTCTGACTCACTTGTGCTTACTCAAAGAGATGTGGCAACTGCTTGGTGGTCCACCTCCATTCTCGGGGCAAGCAACGCGAGACTTCGAAAGAATTTGGCCGATCAGGCAGCTCCGATTCTGGAATTGGGAAGGTGAATGTCAAATAGACGCAATCTTGTCTAGTTTTCCTCGTGTAGTGAATGCAGACCTACAAATCTCTGATTTTGGCCATTTCCTTTTCATAGTCCAGTTTCAAAGAAATTGTTTGGTATCAGGTAGCTCTGTATTCCTAAGTCACCCCCGGAGAACCTTTTCCAAGGATCATACAGACAGATTCCTCCCATATACCAGTAGTACCGCAGAAGGCGGTGGCGGAAGTTTCAAAGATAGGACACTATAGGAGAGGTGAGTTGTTGCGATGCATGGATGGCAGAGCCAACCCACTGTGGTCACCTCAACCACAACTGCTGGATGTAGTGTGGTGTAGTGGAGTGTAATGTAGTTGTAGTTATAATTAGTGTAGTTGTAGTATAGTGTAGTTGTAGGTGTAGTGTAGCGTAGTTGTAGTTGTAGCTGTAGTTGATGTTGTACTAGTTGTAATGTTGTAGTTGTCGCTGTAGTAGTTGTAGTAGTTGTAGTAGTTGTAGTAGTTGTAGTAGTTGTATTAGTTGGTAGTTGTAGTAGTTGTAGTAGTTGTAGTAGTTGTAGTAGTTGTAGTAGTTGTAGTAGTTGTAGTAGTTGTAGTTGCAGTAGTAGTTGTAGCTGTTGTGTTTGTGTTTGTGTTTGTGTTAGTGCTAGAAGTAGAAGTAGAAGTAGCAGTAGGAGTAGTAGCAGTAGGTGGTGGTGGTGGTAGTACTAGAACTAGAACTAGAACTAGTAGTAGTAGTAGTAGTAGAAGTAGTAGTAGTAGTAGAAGTAGTAGTAGTAGTAGTAGCAGGAGTAGTAGTAGGAGGAGTAGTAGTAGTAGCAGTAGTAGTAGTAGTAGCAGTAGTAGTAGTAGTAGGAGTAGTAGTAGTGGTAGTGGTAGTGGTAGTGGTAGTGGTAGTGGTAGTGGTAGTCGTAGTCGTAGTCGTAGTCGTCGTAGTAGTAGTAGTAGCAGCAGGAGTAGTAGTAGTAGTAGTAGTAGAAGTAGTAGTAGTAGTAGTAGAAGTAGTAGTACTAGTAGTAGTACTAGTACTAGTACTAGTACTAGTAGTAGTAGTAGAAGTAGTAGTAGTAGTAGTAGAAGTAGTAGTAGTAGTAGTAGTACTAGTAGTAGTAGTAGTAGTAGAAGTAGTAGTAGTAGTAGTAGAAGTAGTAGTAGTAGTAGTAGCAGTAGTAGCAGTAGTAGGAGTAGCAGTAGTAGTAGTAGTTGTTGTTGTAGTAGTAGTAGTTGTAGTAGTAGTTGTAGTTGTAGTTGCAGTTGCAGTTGTAGTTGTAGTTGTAGTTGTAGTGTAGTGTAGTGTAGTGGAGTAGTGGAGTAGTGTACTGTGGTGCAGCGGCATGTAGTGTAGTGTAGCGTGGGGTAGTGGAGTAGTGGAGTAGTGGAGTTGCAGTTGGAGTTGTAAGTTGTAGTTGTAGTTGTAGTTGGAATTGTAGTTGGAGTTGTAGCTAATGTAGTGTAGTGGTAGTTGTGGCTCTAGTTATTGCTGTTATAGTTGTGGTATAGACACACTTATGGTCTATCTCCACCCCCCTATTTCTTCTACGCAGTCTCACCGAAATATTTGAAAGGCACCCCGCCTCTTTATACATCCTCTTCCTGGGTTGGTCCCAGGCCTTTGACTCTATCGGCCACCCTCACTTGGCCGCGGCCTTGCGCAGATATGGGATACCCCCATTTCTTGTCCAAGCCACTATGGCTTTATATCACAACGGCCAATTCTTTGTCTCAGATTTCGCCTCTCAATCTCCCCAATGTACACTTCGTCGTGGAATTCGACAGGGCTGCCCGCTCAGCCCCGACCTCTTCATCATTGTGCCCTCTGCTCCCACTTCTGATCTCCATTCTCTTTTTCAGGAGATTTTCTCTTATACACCCTGGACCTACTCTTTTCAAAACTCGTTCGAAGATATAGAAAATGCAGACGACACTGTCTTGATTTCACGCACTCAAGACACTTTCTCCAGACTTCTTCATCTCCTCCAACATCTTGCCGCCCGTATTGGCTTCCAAACGGACCAAAATGCCAACTCCTATGCAGCCATTCCAGTCTTCCAATTTCTCTCTCCACTAAGGCAGACCCTTATTCCGTGTGTGACTGCCCCTCCCTTTTTCCAGTCCACTCTGCCAAATACCTTGGCTCCTTTATCACTTCCACATGTCAACTATCGCTGCTCCCAGGCTTCATCTGCCTTTAAGACCCTTGACCCTTTCTTCCGACATCCTCTTGTATCACCTAAATTCAAACGTAGAGTTTCCTCACAGATCGTTCAACCTATATTCCTCCATGGCTCCGAAACCCAAATCTACTCTCCTGGTCAAATTTCACATATCGACTCCCTTCACTATAAAGCCCTACGGCAAATCTTTCATGTCAAAAGCCCCTACTAAAACCGCGTCCTCCAGCCCTCCGACTCTCCTTGCTCCAACACTTTCTTCTTTCTCAATACCACCCTGTCCTTCCCTCACGCATCCCCTCCTCGATGCGCCTTTCCGATTCCCGTATCAAGTTGCGCGGTCATATCTTGCGCCACCCAACGTCTTTTGAATCCCTGTATTGTTGTGTGATGTATTGTTGTGTGATGTATTGTTGTGTGATGTATTGTTATGTGATGTATTGTTGTGTGACGTATTGTTGTGTGATGTATTGTTGTGTGATGTACTGTAGTGTGACGTGTTGTTGTGTGATGTATTGTTATCTGATGTATTGTTATCTGATGTATTGTTGTGTGATGTATTGTTGTGTGATGTATTGTTGTGTGATGTATTGTTGCATGATATATTCTTATGTGATGTATTGTTGTGTGATGTATTGTTATGTGATGTATTGTTGTGTGATGTATTGTTGTGTGATGTATTGTTATGTGATGTATTGTTGTGTGATGTATTGCTGTGTGATGTATTCTTGTGTGACGTACCGTCGTGTGATTTTTTGTTGGGTGATGTATTGATATGTGATGTGGTGTTGTGTGATGTATTGTTGTGTGATGTATTGTTGGATGATATATTCTTATGTGATGTATTGTTGTGTGATGTATTGGTGGTGTATTGTTATGTGATGTATTGTTATGTGAGTGTCTTGTTGTGTGTATGTGTTGTTGTGTGGTGTATGGTTACGTGATGTATTGTTACATGTATGTGTTGTTGTGAGTGTATTGTTATGTGATGTATTGTTATCTGATGTATTGTTGTGTGATGTATTGTTGTGTGATGTATTGTTGTGTGATGTATTGTTGCATGATATATTCTTATGTGATGTATTGTTGTGTGATGTATTGGTGGTGTATTGTTATGTGATGTATTGTTATGTGATGTATTGTTATGTGAGTGTCTTGTTGTGTGTATGTGTTGTTGTGTGGTGTATGGTTACGTGATGTATTGTTACATGTATGTGTTGTTGTGAGTGTATTGTTATGTGATGTATTGTTATCTGATGTATTGTTGTGTGATGTATTGTTGTGTGATGTATTGTTGTGTGATGTATTGTTGCATGATATATTCTTATGTGATGTATTGTTGTGTGATGTATTGGTGGTGTATTGTTATGTGATGTATTGTTATGTGATGTATTGTTATGTGAGTGTCTTGTTGTGTGTATGTGTTGTTGTGTGGTGTATGGTTACGTGATGTATTGTTACATGTATGTGTTGTTGTGAGTGTATTGTTATGTGATGTATTTTTGTGTGATGTATCGTTATTTGATGTATTGTTATGTGATGTTTTGCTGTGTGTATGTATTGTTGTGTGTATGTCATTGTTGTGTTTTATTTTGTGATGTTTTGTTATGTGACATGTGGTTACTGCATTTCGCTTTATCCGTAACTCGTATGTTTTGCTTCGCATCTTCCTTTGACAATCTAATTTTGGACGATTTTGGGTACTTTTATTTAAGAAAACCTCCATCGCAGACCTGGGGTTGTCTTGCAGATTGTAGTGTCACCAAATATATAACTGTGCGCAAACCTGTGCAGGTCTTTCTGCAACAGTTCCAAATGTAAAGGGCACGCCGTCTGATCTTTCTGAATTTCTTGCATAGATCACTGTGACTTTTCAATAGCTATGACATACCCACAGGGTTTTCCATGTTTCGACTATGGTTACAGAATGCAGCGGATGTACAAGTCAATATTTGCCAACACCAGGTTTTGGCCACATGTCTTGGGCAGGCCAGTCAGAAGATCCAGACCTTTGACGTTGATGAACTTAGCATGCTCGTTTCTGGCGCTTCAGATGCGGGTTCTGCCGAATTTCTTTGCTTAGCGCAACAGGCCACGGTGGTGATGGTTTCTGGGGCTGTGAGTTGTGCCTGGCAGGGTTCTTCGTGGGCTTCATTTGGCGAAGCAGGAAAAGAACTCTTGGGAATACTGTTTTCATGTCGATTGAGTGGCTGCTTGCAGGCGCATTTTCATGAATTCATGGGCAAGGCCATGACATCCGTTGGTGCTCGGATGGATGTTGCAGAGGTAGAAATACCGACCAAGCTGCCCAGCCAAGAATCAACGGAGTACACCGAACTGCATTTGACTGTGGTCGATCTACCAGACCGATCTGTTTTATTCAAACCTCCTGGGTGGGAGGTGTATGGTCAGCATGTTGATCATCAGCTCTCAGACTTCGTAATAGCTTCCTTTGGCAATGCTCCAATTTTCCATGATGTGCAACATAATTTCGGATTCCTGCATCGATTGGACGTGCCAAGTTCCGGGCTTATACTGGTTGCGAAGACGTATGAAGCCTTCTACGATATGCAAGTCCAACTGCATGCAGGTGACATGCACCGAGACTACACTGTGTTGTGTCATGGAGTGCTTCCAAGAACACTGTCGGAGATCGCTGCAAGATTGCAACCAACTGAGGATGGACAGACTTTGGCCGGGAGAGGAAAAATCAGTTTTTCCAAAATTGTGTGCAAATCGACGTATCTTCAGCATCGCGTAGGTGCGCTGAGCCAAGCTTTGCTGGCCATCGATACAGGTAGAAAGCACCAGATCCGGAGCCATTTGGCTCATGTGGGACATCCAGTTGTTCGAGACAGACTTTACGCGAGCTTGGACACTTTCAATTTTGATGCATCTCTTTCATCTAGAAATTGGCTGCATCGACATCGGCTCATTTTTCAAGACTTGGCTGGTGAAAAGCGAGAGGTCTTTTCTGAGCTGCCACAAGATCTTCAGTTGCCAAGCTCCATAATGCCATTTTCAACTAAAGAAGCCTGAACCGAGGTTTCTGAATGCTCTGCAATCATTTACGAAGCATGCAAAAGTGTGCAGGGAGAAAAAGCAGTTTCTTCATGTTTCTCCCATCTTTGATTGAACGCGGCTGCACCTGGTTTATCTCAAGAGAAGAGGACAGCCAACTGCTTCCAGAATCAGGGCTCATTTCATGAATCTGGGCACTTTCACATGCTTTCACAACATTTGACTTGACAGATCGAACATTTGGGCACCATTGCCAAGAGCGGCTCCCTGGACTTTCTCCAGCGTTATGATCTGAGAGGAACTTATTCAGAAGCTGCTGCACCAGTTCGATAGCCTAGTTCGATGTTCGATAGCCCTTCACACTGTCTCGGATTTTTACTCAAGTCTCCGTGATTCACCCTGAAGCTTTGTTTCATGACAGAGCGTGGTAACTTAAAGGTAGAGATAGGTAGAGTATGTAGAGTGACCGAAACAAGCGAGGTGGCGAGTCTGATGCGAGCAAAATCATCGGCCAGTGCCATTCCCAGTGTGATTCGGCCACAGGCCAAGGCCAAAGAGGCCTGAGGCTGTTGTGGCAATTGTGGCATCGCAGATTCTCAGGTTTGGCGTCGGCTTCTACTCCACCTTTGTTGTGGCAGACAAGGTTGAGGTCCGGCTCCTGCCTGGTATCACAGTCAAGATGTCTTCCTGGTACCAAACAAGAGAGACGCAGGTCTATACCAAAACGGCAGACACAGAGAAGGGTGAGAAAGGCTACCTTTGGACCTCCGATGGACCGGAGCCAAGTAAAATGGACACAGCATGGCAGAGCTTCTTATCAAGACCGAAAACAAACAGATCAAACAAGAGTTTTTTTGAACTCGATTTTGGAACACATTGGTCATTTGGCCAGAGGTTGTATTCTGAAGCTTGCCTCAGGTTCAGGGAGCTTCACCATCACAGATTGTGATGATGTTCCACGAGGGACAAAGATAGAGTGTTGACCTGAATCTCACCTCGGGGGCTGCAAGTTCGCTTGGCTTGAAGCCTTTCATCATGTCAGAGCTGTTCAAACCTGAGGTTGACGCTGAAAGATGATGCGACTGAGTTTTGCAAGCTGGTGGGATGTTGCAGATGTATCAATTTTTCATTCATCTATCTATCTTTCTTATTTTCTTTTGACATTTAAGAGATCACCTGTTCTCTTCTGGACTTGATGGAAGGCAACTGTCAAAAAGGCAGCGCAGAAGCTGGAAGCTAAACATCGCCTTGCAATGAGATACCCTTGCGAGTGCTGCTTGATTAATGATGGCAACGATATGGCAACTGAAATGGTGTGAGGTTTTCATCTTTCATCGACTTCCCTATCTATGTCACAGAGGCACTTTCTCATTCCCGGTGCTGCAATGTGAACGTGTCCAGCAACTTCCTTGCAGCAGGAAGGAGAGCCAAAGCCCATCAACAAGCAGGAGGTTCCGCTGGTTTGTTGTCCCAACTTGAAGAAACTTGAAGAGCATGCAATTTGAACGCCTGAGGTCGTCTTGGAAATGTTGGTTCACTTGTTTGGAGATGATTCATCATCCTATAGTTCCATGAACATTGCCATTTTATGGGGTTATACCGGTATTATACCGGTATTATACCGGTACCGGTATACCGTGTGTCCCCTATCTTCACCCAATTTGACAGCTGGAGGCGCTCTGGATGAAGAGCTCTGCCACTGAAGAGCAGCACTTGGAGCCGGATCCCCGGAGCGAGGCCTCGGGTGGTACCACAGTTTGATCCCGGTAAGCCAGGCCAAACATGGCCAAACATGGCCAAACATGGTTAAATCGTTAAGACCGTTCCGTTGAAGGTGAAGTGCCAGACGGAGCAAAATGATCCAAAGAGTCAGTTCGCTGCAGCTGAATCACTGAGGTTCTTCCGCTTTCTGAGTGGCAACTCCTATGGAAAGCCTTGGTACACACTGCAGAAGCCTTATCCCTTCTGGCTGCCTTTCATATGTCTACACTTCTATGTTCACTGTCCAAATCAAGGAAACCTGTTGTTGCTATTGAGGATGTATCAAACTGATGCTCCTCTCTCCATCAAGAGCTACTGGGATGCAAGAAGCTGCAGTGCGAGTGAGTGTGAAAGAGCATGCTAGGCAGCAAAATACATCAAACATCATCAAACCACTTCGAACAAGGTCATTGGTGAAAGACTGTCAGAACTTCATGCTGCAGAGGTTGTTTCTACATTCCAGATCCAGACAATGCGCCAAGCCGAATGTTCACCAAAGACCCAGAGATTGGTGCAGGGGACTCAGCTGTATTTCGGTGCTATTACACTTGCCAGCACCATGTGTGTTTTGAGAAGTATGATTCAAACATTGTAAAGGCCGCTTAATTCAATATTTGCCATAGGTCCCCATGGCCAGTCATCATCGGTAGAATTATGATGAAGATGAAAAGAAACTGATGATTGAGATGAAGATGAAGGCAAAAAACACGATCATGATTGAGATAATGCCGAAGATGACGATGAACATCGCGACCACAGCAACCGCAATGATTGTGAGGAGTTTGGCAGTAACTAAAAGGTTATCTGCAGAGTGGAATTGAGGGATCTAAGGGATCTAAGGGATCCATGACACAAAACTGCACCTTGGAATACCTTTGCTGAGATCTCGCTTCACTCTCGACGGGTGATGGTGAAGAAGCATGCGGACGGGGTTATCCCTAAGTGGCTCCACTGGATGAAGGCGGCTTTTCCAGATGATACTCCAGCAGCCGCAGCCCAAACCTTTCTTTGCCTTTTTCCTATGCTAGAATTTCAGCAATCCCTAGCAGGACCTCCTTGTACATGTGGGAATTCTCTTGCTAAGCAGTTTCCTATCTCTGACAATCTGCCCGAGAACATCTGGTGCCAGGGTATTGTGGATTGTGAGGACATGCCCATGCACTTGACTGAGTTTGCTGTCCCTTTGACATGTGGAGCATTCTGTTGGCCGTGGTTCCTTCCGTGAATGGTACCTCCGATGCCGACCAAGGAACATCAGCCGAGAGAGCATGCAAGACACTCGCTTGATGGAAAAGCTATGGTCTGAGTCGTCTGAGTTCAGATTTTCCATCGCTAGCAACACCGATCCGTGGGGACATTGCGAAAAGTGATGCAAGTAGTTGATGTGAATGCAATTCACTGAGAACTGAGAAGCATGGAGTGTGTGCCCCTTCACTGAGGCTTAGCATGGCAGTAGTTCGCCGGATCTTGAGATTTCTCCAGCAGGAGGTCCAGATGCTTTCAGATCCAGCTGTTGGTACAGCATAGGAGAGAGTGATGTTGAACAATTTTGTTGCGGCTGGAATCCAATCCTGCCAGGCAAAAAAGGATCCTGAAAAATATCAAAAGTTCTTCAAAGGCTACTCCTACTTCCTGAAGGCTGGGCTGCCTGCAGTGTCTGCCTTCCAACGAAAACACCAAAACAAATCAGGCGTCATCAGACGCATGATTCCCCGCATGTCAACACTTTCCCCAGGCGGGTGTGATTGAAGACAAAGAGGGCAATTTCAGTCGTCCGCTTCCCGGGTAGCACAAGACATGGCACAAGCACAAAAAATCGATAGTCGAACGAGTCGAACGAGTCGAACGAGTCGAACGAGTCGAACGAGTCGAAAGGCCATAAAGATGATTTGCTGAAGCTCCTGCGCTTTGAGTGCGAGTCCAAGTTCTCCAAGTTCTCCAAGTTCTCCAAGTTCTCCAAGCCTAGTAGAACCAACATCCCAACATCCCAACATCCGCTTGTGCTGACAATGCAGCATCCAATCTCAGGTGCTCGAACAAGTCAAAAGGTGAGCTCATCTCACTGGAGGAAACTTGCCGAGGGTAAGCCGGGTAAGCACTGCATGGCAGCGTGCCTTGTGCAGGAATACATCGACATGGCGAAGGAAGGACAGCAGAACATTTATTACTTCACTTGCTTTGGACCTGGAAACCTGAGAATCAAAGAAACTGCTGGCATGCATTAAATGCATTAAGGTATATTAAGGTATCACTCATGCAGCAGTTCAACCAATGGAGCGTATGAAATTCCATGTGACTCAAAGTTTTGTCTCATGAGGTCCGGACAGACAAACTGCGATGTCTTCTCCATACATGGAACAGTCCCTTGGCTTGAACGTTCTTCAGGTTTGCCATGCAACATGCTGCACTCGTCAAGTGTTGCTTTATAGTCTTTCGAAGTCAGCGACTTAGACCTTTTAACAAGTATCGGTGATCCAATCCCAACCCTCGATCTTGTGGAAATTGAGAAGATATGTGGAGACACAATGAGACACAGGAATGCCAGCTTGTGCATTTAGTGAATCACAAATTGGTCGGTGCTGCACGTGCCTATGCAGGTTTATCCAGCGGCAGCTTGACACTCAGTGGAGCTCTACAAAGAGCTCGCTGTTTGATTTATGCAGTGAAGGTGAAGGTGAAGGTGATGACTTGTGTCTCTATCACGTGGGCTGATTGCAGACAGGCGCAACGTCATCTTGATGTTCGAAGACATAGACGAATTTGTGGTCTCACTGGCGTGCTTTCCAAGTTTGTGTATGGTGATGCTCGCATCGAATGCGTTACTTGCAGTGGTGCTACTGTCTGAGGTGAATGCCATCGAGGGTTTCAAGGAGAGCGACCGAATCAGAACTGATCTGCAGTGTGATGTGAGATGACAGTCTTCCAGCTGGTCTTCAAAGACTTCCGCGTTTACATGCTGATTTACACGCCACTGATATGGTGATTATATGGTGATTATCATAGCCAATCATAGCCAATTCTCACGACGCCGGCACTGGTGTGTGAGGATAAGGAGTTTGTCTCCGTTGATTCTGCTGACAAGAACTTTGAGCTAGAGCCCCAGTCATGGTGCCACCATGGTGCCACCAAGGTGCCACCAAACCAGAAAAACGTGCGCCGTGTTCTGCTGCTGTGTTACGGGGAATGTGGTGCCTGGAGAGACCGTTGAGGTTGGATCTCGACAAGCCTGAAGAGCCTGAGAACCAGGCGCAGTTTGCTCTAAGTCTGTATCAAGGGGACATAGTATGCGAGTCGGATGCAGGTATGATGAATCTTTGCACTGCCTTTTCCAACTCCTCTAGAAGATCTAGAAGTTATCTTATGCGAAGAGATCCATACTGGGAGCTGTGTTGCTCAGGATGGAAGAGTTCTCACAGAAGAGGAGCAAACACAGATGCAGAAGTTCATCAGAGATGTGTTGAAGGAGAAGGTGTGGTCCGAAGCAACACTGTTTTGTTTGGATGCGATATATTATTACATTGTTTTTCATGCATTGTTTTGTCATGTTTGCTTGGTCAAACTGGAGCTCACAGGTGCAAGAAGTGAAGTTCTCTGATCGATTGGTGAGTTCTCCAGCCATTGTGTGCCTGCCTTGAAACATTCAGAAGTTTGCAAATGGAGCCCAGCCTTGGTCACTTCAACAATCGAGGACTAGCATCATCACACCGCACATGCGCAAGATGATGAAGAGTCTTATGGCTGGAAAGGCACGCTTGTCATGTTTTAATTTGGCTTCGTGCATGCTGTTTTGCGGCAAGCTTGGGAGGAAAACGACGGCTTGTTGGATGCTTAGAAGTGGAACATGTGCACAGCGGATCATGCCCCATCATCATCCCATCATCTTCCATCATCTTTTATCTTCCTGTCTGACTCTGAACCTGCTACGCCCAGGGGTAACATCCCGATGACCCTCGAACTCAGTCCAAAGCACCATATCGTCACAACGTCAGTATCTTGGAGCCTGGTTCTGCCATTGTTTGAGACTTCATTTGACCGTTATGGAAGTCAGGCTGCGCACCATCCTCAAAGCCAACGAGCCAGTTGCACGCATAGCCGTTTGATGCCAAGGAATGACCGATATTTTTTTCGGCCAGATGTTGACAGCAACTGGTGAGAGCAGACATTGCCAAATGTCATTGACAAGGTCGAGCAGTTGTACGACAATGCTTGCATTGCTGCGGGCACATTGGATGATCCTCGAGTGCTCATGTCGAGATTAAACAAGGCGATCCGATCCATGGTCGAAAGTTCTTGGGAAGACCGCTGTGCATGCACACCTTGTCATGAAGGATGCTCTGATGATAATTCACATGATATTTCTAGTGATTTTGTCTTGTTGATAATTGCTGTATCCGTTTTGCTTCTCTGAGAAGTCAGGTCTTGGAGATGTTTGTCTACCAGGGTGCTGGCTATGATTATGCTGGGTTCAAAGATGTTTGAAGAATGGGCACTCTGTCATGCTGATGTTGAGACGATGGTCTGGTCAGTTCATTTCCCAAAAACCTGGACATTGGACTTCTCCTTATCAGATTTTCAGACTTGAACGTAGTCTTTCCGCTTATCAAGGCCAAAGGTGAGTACCGAATAAGCGATAGTGCAGAAGCTGCCCCGAAGGCTGGGTTCGGGAGGCTAAAATAGACATGCTGAAAAAAGTGGTCTGTATTCAGACCATCTTGACTTCTCTCCCAAGTCTGGCTAGGAGGAAGTGAAAGCCGAGGAATCTAAGGACGAAGAGCCAAAGTGCTACTTTCATCTACTTTCCATTCCTTTGGAAAAGGCTTCATTCATCTCTATTTGATTTCGTCATTGGAACCTATTGGAACCTATTGGAATCATGTTTTGATTGAGATCCTTTGCTCCGCTATGCTCCGCTATCAATTTTCCATTCGCAGGAAGCAAACGCCACAAGCAGCTCCAGCGGCTCCAGCGGCTCCAGCGGCTCCAAGTTTGAGGAGGTGAAGCCGTGAGTCGAGCTCGGCTCCTTCTCATCAAAGAGAGTTCACCACACCCAACTCCCAAAGCTCCCAAAGCTCCCAAAGCTCCCAAAGCTCCCAAAGCTCCCAAGCCTTGGTGCTACTTTGAGAAGGGGGGATGTGATAATGTGAGTATTGTGAGTGGTGCGAAAAAAAGGACCACTGAAAAAGTTGCCTGAAAAAAGTGCAGAATCAATTTGGTCGACATGGACTCAGTTTCTGGAAACTTTGTCAGCCACCCAAGAGCCATCTCAGTGGTGCGAACACGTGCGAACACTAAGCGACGTTGCTGGATTCTGCACTACCAACTTGTGTAGGTAGGCCAACTGCGACGGTGAAGACTCCTCAAAGACCAAAACCTCTGGACAGGCATCGGTAGCACCTCAGCTTCAAGTAATGCATTGTGTTACCAAGAGTATCTTGCGAAGGTGTTTGTTTACCAAGACCAACCTTGTGATGTGAAACCGATGCCAGTCCAAAATCATCCTGCGGTCGCAACAGCGACTGGTGCAGAGCAAAAGAGTGCGCAACATACAGCTGTTTTTCCAACGACCACTTAAGGGACTGACCCAAATGCTGGTTTTGGTGTCTCAGCCGCAGATTGATCCGCTGCCTCCCATTTCAGTTCCAGTGTAGCAATGGATCAGCCATAGATTTTGTTTCGGTGACTTCGCCATGGCTTGTCAGGTTTTGTGAGGTTTGAGTCCCAGAGACTCAGATCTCCGATTTCAAACATGGGTATGGGTCAATACCTACAGATACATTTTTAGTGGGATGAACATCCATTTACCAGCTATTTTGGGGTTCACTAGGTACCAGGGTTTTGACCCATCCCCACATGAACATCGACTAAGATCGATGTCTGATGTCTCCTATGGAGCTGCGATCAATGCTCGTGCTCGAATGCGCGCGTGGCAGCAAGGGCTGGGTTTGCTGGAAGTGTGGCAGCAAGGACTTCAGGTCAACACCATACTCTACAATGCCTCCATCAGTGCGTGCAGTACCCCTGGTGGGTGGCAACAAGGGATGGGGATTGTCCGAAGAATGAAACATGGCTTATTAGAGGCTGATGTAGTGTCCTTCAGTGCTGTCATGAATTGTGAGAGAATTGGAAAGTGGCAAAATGGCATGCTGATACTCGACCGCATGAGGGAACTGCAGATTCAAAGCAATGCGATCTCCTACAGCACGGCTTCAACCTGCGCGAAAGGGCATCAATGGCAGCAGTCTTTGATAGCAGAGATGCAAATGCGGCAAATCGAGACCAACACCATCATGTGCAACTCCGCTTTGATGGTCTTCGGACAGACTGCCTGGCGATGTGCCTTGGAGGCATTTTGCAACTTCCAGACCATTGGCTTACAGGTAAATCCAAGGACCTGTGGCATAGCTGCAGCCACTGCAGAGCAGAGCTCACAATGGCAAAGTGCACTTGCGCTGTCAACACAAGCGCTTCACAATGTCCAAGTGTTGACAACAGCCATCAGCGCTTGCGAGCAGGGTGATCAGTGGGAGCAAGCGATTAGCTTGCTCAGCCAGTTTCAAAGGGTGTCAAAAGTTGATATTGTTGCATACAATGCCACAATCAGCGCGTGTGCAAAGTCTGGAAAATGGCAAATGTCACTTCATTTGCTGGAGCAAATGACAGGAATGAGCTTGAAGGAAGATGACGTGACCTTCAATGTTGTGATGAATGCTTTGGCACAAGGGAGTCAGTGGAGACGCAGCTTAGCGTTGCTTGAGGACTTGAAGCGGTCAGGTAGGACAGATATTGTCACTTTTTCATCGGCCATCGCTGCCTGCGACAAGAGCAGCCAATGGAGAGCCGGGATGTTACTTCTTGATCAAATTGGGGATCAAAGACCTCGAAGAAATGAAGTGATTTACAACACGGCGATCCATTCATGCCAACTTGGGCAGCAATGGTTTATTGCTTTGGAGTTGCTGCATTCCATGTCCGAGGGTATGATTTTACCCTCGATTGTTTCATGGGATTCGGCCATGTTGGCCTGTTTAGGCTGTCGAGATGACTTGGCCTTTGAAGTACTTCTTGAATCTGAGTCTCTGCGAGATCCGATCTCTTTCTTGTGGGCTTTGGCATCCTTGAGCGTTTCTGATGCCGAAGTGATCTATGATGCTGGGAGGAATGTGATTGAGAAGTTGTGGTGCTCTGGAGGAAGTGCAAAAGATTTGGCTCGCTGTTGGTGGGCAGCAGCCACACTGGGTATTCGAAGTGAGCAGCTGAGTTCAATGGCTACGACTTCAAGTCGATCGAATCGGATTTCATTCAAGTCAGCAATGCTTGATGACCTCAGCATGGCTCTCACGGGACTTGCTGGAATGTCCTGGGAGCTTTCCTTCATGCTTGATGCCCAGACTTCTGTGGGGGAAATGTTGACGCGAGCACACCCAGATCAACTTTTGTTCCCCCGGGAGGGAAAAGATCTTTTAGCCATCCTGTTTTCCTGCACAATGGCTGGGTGTCTTTCTTCTCGTCTCTGGAGAGTGTCACGGACAGTGATGCGAGATGTGGGCTCTCTACTTGACACTCGAAGTGGAAACTTGAACCCCGGACTCGACGGACATGACCTGGTAGTTTCCTCGATGGGTGACCGATATGTTATTTTGAAACCACCGGACTGGGAGGTTTACGGTGGACATGTGAAAAAACAATTGATCAACTTTGTGAAACAGAGTATGTCAAGTCCAATCTTGATGGATGCTCAGCACAACTTTGGGTTTCTTCACAGATTGGATGTGCCCAGCTCTGGATTAATTTTGGTAGCGAAAAACTACAAAGCCTTCTACGATTTGCAAGTGCAGCTGCACAGTGGTGAAATTTCCAGAGAATACTCTGTGCTCTCTCATGGTAATCTTCCAGCTTCCCTCAAGGAAGTGCGTGCAAGAACAAGGATTCAACATGACCTGCCAACGCTTTCTGGTGGTAGGGGCAAATTGAGCAAAACAACTCTCATGTTGTCGAGATATATGCACTGTGCAGTGGGGATGCTCAGCTTGCTTCTGATCAAAATTCTGACAGGAAGGAAGCATCAAATCAGAAGTCATTTGGCACATGTTGGACATCCCACGCTCCGCGACAAGATGTACACAAGCAGGGCGATCTTCCAGTCTGACGCAAATCTTTCTTTACGGAACTGGCTTCACCGTCATCGAATCACCTTCACTGATGCTGGGGGAACCCCCTGCGAGGCATGCTGTGATCTGCCGGCGGATTTGAGTGCAGTCTTCAGACTGGCGATATGGACACGTTATGTTTCCGCAAGACCTCCATGATTTTTTGCGAACGATCAATTCACCTGGCAATGGTCCGACGTCCGACATCTGTGCTTTCCCGCTTGTGACTTCCGCGAACATGACATTGGGATACATTGGGCCATCGACCGTTCCGGAGATCCAACTCCGAATCCTCTGTGCGCTGCAAGGCCCCAACCAATTGATCTGTGATTTTGTCCTTTGTGATCCTTTGTGGCTTGTCAGATTTAGAGTCGGTCAAATCAACAGAAAGGTAGAGTCAGGCAGAGAACCAACTTGGATGTAGGTTCTGCAAGGTGCTTGCAAGAGTTGATGATATGAACTGGTTCTTGAAAGACGCTCAACAGGCCCAGCATGAGCTACTGTGGCTTGGAATGCTTTTGACATCCCTCTGTCGTTTTGCGAAGATGAAAGAGCAGATGAGGTGGGTCAAATAGACCGTAAATGATTTTGTAACAGTTCTGTCATTTCTGTACAACATCAGAAACGTATCAGAAGCGTAAGTTCACCAGGATCGCAGGAAGATGATTTTCTTCTCAGCAGCACTCGGCAGCTACCACAGTTTTTCCAGATTCAAGCGAGAATCCTGTCCATGTGATTGAGGAGCAGATTCTGAGAGAGAGAGAGAGAGACAGACTTTGCAAACCTTCGAATGCTTTCAAAAACAATCAAAAAGGGAATGCAACAGCTTCAACCAAACTGCCAAGGCACCTTTGACGTCAAATTGAGCTGCTGGCTTCTCTCAGAGGGAAATCAAAATGGCTCCGTGCAGCAAGACTATTTTTTGCTGATTTGTGATCTGAAATGAAAAGGGCTAATGCACAATCCTTGCAAGATGTTCCAGCTGCCAGATTGGAGAAGTATACTTCCATGTTGACTTTTGGCTGGAAGCTGGTGCAGTCATGATAGTGCAGAAGTATATGCAAGCTTGAAGCTTACCTGCAAGCAGCAAGTCCGCGCCATGCAGACAGGTCCAGTGTTAGTGGTGTAAAACTGCGATTAACTCAAGGCTTCGGCTCTACGTGGGCCATCTTGGCCTTGCAAAAGGATGCACAAATATGCACAAGGTAGAACCGCCTGACAACAATTGAAACAGACTGAAACAGTCAATGGCCCAGCCACAAGCTGAATGGCAAACTTTCGCAGGTGCCGGCGGTGCCCGCGGTGCCCGCTGTTTGCTGTTCGTTTTGATTTTGAGAAGTGGCTTTTCTGAGTGAAGAGATGTTAGAGTCAGATAGAGTCAGGATCCACGACAGCCATGGAGGCCTTGGAGCGCTGCGGCGCTGGGAGCTGGGGGTCAGAGATGGTCACAGGGAGTGCCCGAGACATCCGAGACATCCGAGGCATCCGAGGCATCCGAGGCCAAGTGTGGCGAAGGTGTGAGATACATCCGAGCCCTCGGAGTCAGGGCCCAAAGTCGCCAAAGTGGTGACTGAGAATGCTTGTTGAATGCTTCTTGAATGCTTGTTGAATGATTGTTGAAACAGTTGAAACCCATTTCTGCAACATCACGAGGTAGCAAAGCCATGCAAAGCCTTTGTATCCAAAGTCTGCTGTGAGTGCTGTGAGATGCTGGAGACATCTCGAGATTAAGAAAGGACAATGGCAGTGCAACTCGAGGCCAGGCTGCACCTGATGGCTGAAAGGTGCAGCGGGTCAGACCACGAAAGCTTCGGCTAGCTGGAGATGTTATTGCTTTCCATTGCTTTCGCATTTTGTTCACCCTGCTGGATGCCAGAAACATTTGTAACAGTAGCTGTCAAATACAAGCACCAGAGCGACCATCACAGCAGTACAGATCACAGCAGTCACACAAGTGAATGGAGGGAATGTCAAAATGAAATGAACATCCACGACTGAAACCAACAGCTCAACAATTGTGATGTTGTGTGGGTAGGCAGTTCTTTTGGTTTCTGCTGTGGCCCTCAACATTTCGAACAGTGGAGCAGTTCTGCCAACCAAGAGAGCCTGCTCCTTCACTCGATTTCTATCTTTCGTACCCAACCTCTGGCCTCAAGTTTGAAGTGAGCAAGGCAGCTTTCGATACCTTTTCAGCATTACTTTGCTACTCCAAACCAAGAATGCACTGGCTAGATGCCAAGCTTAAACTTTGGTTTACCTGAGAGCACCGATCAGGGAAGGGCTATGGCCTTTGCTTCATGCTGCCCAGACAATTTTGACGGAAGGCTTGGACTATGTCACATTTGAAGCAAAGGCCTTCCATTGAAGGTAACGCAACACAGTACAGGTAGGTTTATGAGATCCTTTAAAGTCCGAGCTTCAAAGTCCTGGTTTGTGTGTGGACCTGACACATGGGCCTTGGAACATGTGATTTTGCGCAGCTATCACGACAACTGGACAACCTTCGTTTGGCGCCAACAGATTGCTACGTGACAACCCGACCTGTCAGGCTCTCCAAGTCAGGAGGCAATGCAGTGCGTTTTTGAAGTTACAACCTCTGAGCAATGTCCACAATGGCGAAAGCGAGGCTCAACATGAATTGGCAGATGCTGTGGCATGGGCGGCTTCTGCGACAAGATGTATGCAGGTCTCCCAACATCTTTCACTATCCTTTCATGAACATCTATCCATTGCATAAACTTTCTGCCAGGATGAATATGTTTGGAATGCTCTTGCCTGTCTTTGCGCGGCATCCGGCAGACCACATCAGGAGGTTGGCTTTGGGGTGGTTAGAGTTTGATGTTGGTGGTGCTGATCAGCTGGTAGCATCAGCTGTTAGCTCTGTTTGTCAATTCGCCAGATGCTTCAAAACTTCGAGCCATGATTCCTCTCGATGTTTCGCTTTGAGACTGCGAGATTGAATTGTAGGTCTTCGGTCAACCGCCAATGACTGCGTCACAGCAACACAGTCAAGCAGTTTGGCAGGCAGGCAGACTTCACAAATCAATAGCTCGATTGCCAATCAGCAGCTGTAGATTTCATAGCGCCACACGCTTGGTTCTTACCGTAGCAGTTTGGACATATATGCGCAAGGTGTACTTGTGGTTTCGCAGGCTCTATCTGCACTTGCCGACAGAACCGCAGGACAAAGTTATCCTGCAGTGGGTCGAGCCCTCAGAACTGTAACGCAGCTATACCTCCAGGGGTTGAACCTAAGGGATCCTGCTGCGCAAAGGTATGATCGCATCATCACCTTTCCCGTTGCTGTGGTTCCCACAGTGGTTGGCCGAAGATGAGATTGTGCAACTGCTGATGCAAGCCGAGGACTTGGGTTGCGTCCAAACATCGACCAACTCATTTTTTGAAGATTTTTTTCTGCAGAGCAGATAGAAACAAGTGCTTCGGCATGTGCAGGAGTCCGTGTGGAATCCCTCTCCCCTGGCCACTGAAGGGGATGCTGCCGCGTCTCAGTGGCAAATGTGTCGCATATGCCACACGTGTCACGCCAAGTGTTATGAGGGTTGGTCACTGAAGTTGTGATTTCGCTTCTGAGAGATGTTGGGATGTCTAACGTGATGTCATGGGACTCCGGTTGTTGGTCGATCTTTTTATTGTGGTATGGCATGGTATATAATTAGACGTAGACCATCCCATTCCATACCCATTTTTGACCCATACCCATATATTCCATATTAGATGTCATTCATAAATCATTCATGAATCATTTATGATACATTTATTTAAGCGCTTACGCGCGACAGCCGGCCAGGGGCCCAACTATGTAGGCCCAGTGTGTGGCTATGTTGGCCTATGTTGGCGTATGTTGGCCTATCTTGCGGGCAATGTGGGCCCATCTTGTGGCTATGTTGGCCTCATGTTGACCCATGTTGAGCCAAAAGATCCGAAAAATGGGAACAGCAAAAAAAACACTGTAAAACGCAGGATATTTTGATGGTCGGCGGCCCATCTTGGGGCTATGTTGGCCCATCTTGGGGGCTATGTTGCCCCATCTTGGGGCTATGTTGGCCCATCTTGGGGCAATGTTGGCCCATCTTGGGGCTATGTTGGCTCATCTTGGGGCTATGTTGGCCCATCTTGGGGCTATCTTGGCCCATCTTGGGGCTATGTTGGCCCATCTTGAGGCCTATGTTGGCCCATCTTGAGGCCTATCTTGGCCCATGTTGACCCATCTTAAACCACAAGATCCGAAAAATGGGAAAAAGTGGGAAGAGCACAAAACACCGTAAAACGCGGGAATTTTTGGCGGGGGGGAGTGGTCGGCGGCTGGGGCGGCGGCCCCTCTCTCCTACGGAGAGGAGAGAACTGCCGTACGGCAAGGACACGGCCAGGGGGCCCCTGGCCGGATTTAAGGGCTGACGCCCCTCGTCGGCTCCGCCGGATTTCTCGACCCTCCATTTCATCGCAGTGTGGGCTTGAAAGCTTTTGGATGGGGACCTGCTTCAGAAATATAGTCCTTATGTTTTTTGAAAAAAGTTCATCGAATAGGAACTTTGTTGGAAATAGGCGGCTTTTTTGGGGAGCAAGTGAGTTCCCGAAAGCTCCTGCCAAGGGTTTTTCCCGAAGAACTGCTGCCAATTTCAACTTGTTACTTCGTGTAAAGGCGCCTCTGTGCAAAGACTTCTCTGTCTAAAGCTTTTGTGTGTAAAAGTTTCTGTGTGTAAAAACCACTTTGTGTAAAGACTTCTTTGTGTAAAAGCTTCTGTGTGTGAAAGCTTCTCTGTGTGAAACGTTTGTGTAAAGATTTCACTGTGTGTAAAAGCTTCCGTGTGTAAAAACTTTCTGTGTAAAGTGTAAAGGCTTCTCTGTGTAAAAGCTTCTGTGTGTAAACGCGTCTGTGTGTGAAAGCTATATATCTGTGTAGAGACTTCTTTGTGTAACAGCTTCTGTGTGTAGAGGCTCCTAGACGTTTGTGTGCAAAAGCTCCTTAGGGTAAAGACTTCTCTGTGTAAAACCTTCTGTGTGTAAAAAGCTCCTTTGTGTAAAGACTTCTCTGTGTAAAAGCCCCTGTGTGTGTAAATGCTTTTGTGTGTAAAAGCTCCTCTGTGTAAAGGCTTCTCTGTGTAAAAGCTTCTATGTGCAAACGCGTCTGTGTGTAAAAA